CTGATTTAATGTCTGAAAAAAAATGCTATGCAAAGCAAGTCAGAACGTTGCCAAATTCCGATGTGCTCTAAATCTATATATTCAGGTGAAGCCATAAGGAGTTTCTGTTTCTTTTCATGCTAGCAGGAAAAAAATTATCCTCATTGCCATCTTTCTCTGTTAAGTACATGAGTAGTCTGCTCTCTTTTGTACAAGAAGATTGTTAAAGCTCCTTCAGGGAGGACAGGAACAGAGCACCCAGATGTGCTTACACCATCCTGCGCCAATAAACCATGTAAATTAGGTGCAGTCTATACTTATTTTACAGAATGTTGTATATGACAAAAGCTACTGTTCCAATTTTGCCTTCCTCCTGTGTTTCTCCCAAGACATTTTGTAACTTTTGGACAGAAACAATGCTTGGACAATATACCTTCTGTTAGATTTTAAGCTTGATTATACAATTGCATTGTGTCAGTGAGCTTCCTGGGATGTCCCACAGTTATTAGATGGTAGAGGATAATTTGGGAAAAAAAACCCCAAAACAGTCTGCCTTTGTTCCTCAGATTAGTAGTTACAGTTTTTAGGAATATTTTCCACACTCAGATTTTTCTAGAAAGTCTCATTCAACATATCAGTATGAAATTCTTAAAAGAAAAAGCAATCACAACTCAAATCATCCAAGGCCTCACAGAAGAGGACATGTTTCACTGAAGTTTCCTTATGATCTTACTTGGTTTCCTTCTATGACTAAAAGTAAGAAACTCCTTCCAACATCTCTTAACTATGCTCACTAATGAGCATCCCATTATCAAGCACCAATACACTACAAGAAAAGGGGAACACAAAAATTATTTCTGAATGCAGTTTTTACACCCTTCTGTAACCAGCAGGCAGACACGTCCTGCAAAGCACCCTCCTGCCTACTGGTGGGACAGGATATCCCTCTGTGACAGACAAAGACAAAGATTAGACTGGGAGTTCAGCTACCATCTAACATGGCAATGCTTTCACTTTGAGGAAGCAAAATTGTGGCCGTTAAAGAAAAGTCTTTCTTTAGCAATAACCTTTAGAATGATTCATGCCTACTCCATAACAGCAGTATAGCTACACCTACTGAAAAGTTCCAGTATCAAAGATCTTTATGCCAAACAAATTGTTTGACAAAATAATTGCAGTGTAGTATTCCAACAGGCATTATAAAATATACAATATATATACTACTTCAGTAAGCATTCCTCTGTGTTACAAAAAAGGAAGTTACTCTCCTTGCAGTTTAATCATCAAACTAGTATTCAGACTAATCCAAACTGAAATACAGGTAAGCTGCCTTGTTGCCTGTAAGCCCAGAGCCTGACTGGCTCCAGGCCCCTAAAGCAAAAGAAGGGCTCTACAGGAAAGTGAGCACAAGTGCTGCGAGGAAATGCTGGCTATGAACTTCACCTCTACTCTTCAACAGGGCACCTTCTTAAAAACAGAAACATTTGTAAATCTCCAACTTTGTCTTCTGTGAAAGTGATACCCTGGTTGAAATGGCTATTGACTTGTCTCACACATCAAAGGTAATTTAATTTTGCAGGTCAGTCCAAAATGGATCTTTACCTAATTTGAGTCTGTTGAAATATATATAGATTTTTTGTTAAAGCTTTAAGGAAAAAAATAAAAATCAATGGAGATGCTGAAAGCATTTATTCAATTTTTCTACAACAAGGTACAGTATTACCTTGTTAAATGACTGAATCAACTTGCCACTCACCCCAAGAGAAGCAAGGCACATTGTTCCTTTTTCTATTAGTTCTATCAAAGCTTATACCTGATTTCAGGTGGGCTAATGGGTATTTAACACTCCAAACAAGTTTTCTAGCACATTATTAAAAAAAAAGCCAAACAACAATGACCTATTTACTGTTATACAACAGGTTAGGATGATTCTGATCCTAGTCTATTTAAAGCTATTTTCTGGTTTATCTTTTTAAAATAGAAAAATGAAAAATTGAGAACCAAAGAAAAAAATTACTTTCACAGGAGCTTTGAACATTGTCATAGGCATCCAGCAGATCATTAATAACAAACAACTGCTTAATGGGAGGCTCCTCTGCTTACCCACTCTTTAGGGATCCTGGGACGTTGTATTATTTTTGCACAAATTTAAGGAGTGCATTTAAAGGATAACTTTGAACCAAAAAGACCAAACTGTCAACAGGATTCAGAAACAGCTGAGCTGTCAGAAAAACCCAAAAGTTGATATAAGATAACAAAACTTGACAGAGCTGAAAAATTTAGCTATCTTCCTGACAATACCTTACTGTGCGTGTTTTGTTTTTTTTTTTTTTTTTTTTAAGGAACCAGCACACTCTAAAATAACTTAAAAGAACCCAGGGAAGTAGAATCTTTCCTTCTCAAAGTGATTTGCATTCCTTATCAGAAACATTTGCCTTACTGCTTCAGTTCTGTCTGCTTTCACATTTTAAAGCCTCTGTGAATGGACAGCCTGCAATCTCCCATGAGGGTAAAAGTCACAGTTCACTGAGCTGCACCACTGTCAGAGCGCAGGATACTAACAACTAATTGCTGCATTTAATCTAACAGTGATCTGTCACGTAACAACTAAGCTCGTGTTCTTTTCATGCAATGAAAGCACTGCTATTTCTACTTTGTAATGGAATTTAGAAGCAACCACATGGATCTAATTCAGAGCTCAGGTAGTCAGAGTGTGCGCTGGTAATGCCACAAAGCCAAAGTTGTGGCTTTGATCCCACACGGACCATTCACTTAACAGCAGGACTTCATAATCCCTGTGGGTCCTTTCCAACCCAGAATACTTTGTGATTCTGAACTTCCTTTTAGATTTTGCTGCCTTGCATGATCTACAGATGTATGCAATACTGTTATGCTTCACATAATCTTGATTTTTAATTATTGTACATAAGTGAACTGTAACATACTTCTCAGCTGTACAACAGACCTTCTGGCTTTCAATTCTGTACCTTGATTTGTTAAGTCAATAAAATTATATTGGGAATTTACAGTGAGTAGAAGAGTTTTAGAAGAGTCTGAAATACTAACTATTGCTATATTAAAATCATTCTTTACAAGTATTTCACAGAACTCAACATTATATTATCATTAATTATACCCTGAAAGCATATACCCTTGGACAGCATTTCTAGAGAATTTTCCGCCAAAAATGCAACACCAAGATGCTATTAAGAAACAAGGATATTGCATGTTGATAAGAAGCAAGCATAAGAAGACTCTTAGTAAAAAATATCAGAGCTCACAAGAACTGATTCAAGGCAAGGATGAACAACATTGTCACACAAGCAGTGTCCTAGTGGAAGTAGCCCATGGCAGGGGGATGGAATAAGATCATCTTTAAAATCTCTTCCAGCCCAAGCCATTCTGGGATTCTGTGATCAAAGGACAGGGAACTCTACACCAGTAATAAGTAAGATTAAAATGCGTCATAAGTCTCAAACTTACTGGTGCAAACATCAAAGAAACCAGCACTTCTGAAGTTCAGTGAAATCACTGGTTTGAGCTCCTGATGACCGTTTCAGTCAAGCACAAACTTACCCCAAATTAGCCCCATTCTACCTTCAAATTTTACTAGATTTATGGTGCATTTATCAGTAGACTTTGCAATCTAAATGATCTTCCCCCTCCTTACTATATCACTCATGTTTCCAAAGGGTAGACAGAGGCAAATACATCTTCTTTATAAAGATTAAATTCTTAAGACAGAACTAGCATTCTGTTGGGAAGGTCTCTTCCTTGCAAAGAAGGTGTCTGTACAAAAGTGTAGTTACTTCCAGAACTTGGAAGGTATTGAACCATTTCAGTTGCTTACTTTAGGCTTTTATCTCCCAAGTTCTATGTAAGTAACCTACCCAATCTGTAAGGCATTTAGGGACAGAGGTGAGGTTCAAGTATTGATAAGCAGAAATAATTTGCTGTCATTTTCTCAGGAAAACAGTTGAGTGGAGGGAACACTGTCACCTTTACCACAAAACACTTTTGGCTAGCTCAGCTTCGTGGATATGAAACTGAACAGCTGCAAGAACTCTTTGTATTGATTTGAAACCAAAAAACTCTAAATAGAAATGCCTGGATCCTTGAAGAGAAAAGGCAAAACCTGTGCAAGTCACAATTTAGTTTTCTTTAAGGAAATTATATTAGAACATGAAATATTTATTTGAAGATTCTGAATCTCAGCTAAAATAACTTCTTGAAAACAGTGAAGAACAGCCTATCTGAGAGACAATCCACAGCTTGAATAAAAATTACAGTGAACTAATTTCCATTGGACACACAGGCTCCACAAAGTCTTTTGGAGAATTAAAACAGATAGCCCTTCACTATATATCAGATTATAAAAAACGCAGCTGTTTGTCTAAAATGTAAGTGTAATGAAATCCAGATGGAGATGTATCCTGTATTTTTCATGTCAACTATTGCTCCAACACCAAATGGAGAAGAATGACTTGAGCAGGTATAAAGGACAAAGTTAGAATTACAGGACAAAAGTCTGCCTTCCCAAGAAACAAAAATTTCTCATTCATGAAGATATACCCGCCTACTGGTCTTAGACCTGCAGTATACTGGTTTTTTAACTAGAAGAAGACTGTTTTCATAAAACCATCCATGTCTTAAAGGTTTCTAAACTAGCTGGGACAATCTTTCATGATACAGTCAGTGTTGACTGCTTCACTTCTAAGTTTGATAAGGTGGAAACAATACTCTTTTTAGCTAAAGTTCCCACTGGAACAGTGCTGGAGCCGAGTGTGCAGCATTACAGGGATGATGAAAAAGCATTTTGTATTCACAGGCACATGTGCTAAGTGTTCTCCAAGTACACTCTCCTATCTTTAACTTCAGTGAAGAAAGGAATTGCTAAAAGCATATAAAACAGGAGCAAGTATTTTCAGGGGAGACACAAATAAGTCATCATCACAAGTAACTAAAAATTTTGTAATGAGATGTCCTGGGTCACTGAAAGACAATGAAAGCTGCACAATTACCTTTTTTACAGTCTTGTCAGGTTCAAGAGCAATATCTGGAATGTTGGCATCCACCATGAGGGAAAATAAATTCAAGATCAAGTTGGAATACCTAAGCAGAAGAGCAAATTCGGTAAAACATCTTGTAAACTGTACAAAAGACATTTTGTAAACAATTTAAGAACTCATCATCATCTTACAAAGAACTGTTAAGGCTTCAGAGATCCATTTTTAGTACGAATTGAAAGTATTTATGTTAAAGAACACGAGATACTGACATACACTATCAAAGCTTAAACTTCAAAATCTCTTAAACTGCCAAAATTGAATAAAATGCTCTGATTTTGTTAGTTTTCTAAAATCATCAGAACATTTACTCAGAGACACATGAAATATAAACTATGATTTTATGTATTTTAAGTTATAATGCCCTTTTCTACCTCTTTTAGGATAAACATATGCTAGAATACTGATGCAAAGGTTATTTTTTATTATTAAGTGATACAGCAGCATGATATTTATTCAAACAGGTGAAGTCTTCATAAGTACAAAAAATTATTTTTCCAATCATTGCAAGGGCTTTTGACATAATGAGTTAAATATTTAACCAGATCCAAGTCTTCAGCTCCTCAATTAAGCTCCAGTAATAGTGGTAGCACAGTACACTTAGGAAGTAAAAATACATATGTCATGTATAACCATTAAAAGACAAATCAGAGAACAGTTTTTAGCTTTAAAATAGTTTTGGAAACACTCATGAGTATTTTTTTTAAAGAACATCATTTTGCCCTTGCAGAAAATTAGCTGTCAGTTTCTTTTTTAGAGGATAACTTTCAAGCTGTTCAGCAAAAACTGGAACTCCCCTTCCTCTGCAAAAAGATCTAATTCCCTTTAAGATACAAAATATGTTACTGACTTCACCATTTGAAATATTGCTTTGCTAAGAGAACCATGAGCTTCACAGTTGAGAGCAAACGAATTCTTAGCAGCAAAACTTGTTAATTAGGAAGCTGCTGAATATATATTAGCTGACAACTGCAAGAAGTGCAAAGTATCTCAGCTAAACAAAACGTCTGCTTCACAGCTGTATTTTACAAAGTAAATACTGCTCAAAAAAGACATCTCTCTAGAAAAAACTTAGTTCCAACAAAACCACTTGACACTTTATTATTATCTGGAACTAACACTACCTAACACATTCCAATATAAGTTTTAAAACATTTTAAGAAAAGCACTAAAATCAACTGTTTGGCTAGAAATCCTCAGTGTCTTATTTCTTTCAGAAGTTTTACTTCACTTCCCCAAGGGCAGGGAGCTGGAGTCAGGAAAATGACTTTTATGGCAAATTAAAAGAAAAGAAGGAAAGTTAACTCGACCATTTTGTTTCAGGTCTGGCTAAGAAATATGGCAGTCAGGTTGCTCTGCTCCTAGGAACAGATACCACAGATTTTAATCAATTTTTCTTCCACTTGCCTGAAACTAGATTTCCTTTAACACATACTTAAATGTTACAGGCACATGCTCTGAAGTCTCCTCCTAGATTACTGGTACCTTCTGTCAGTAGTTTTCCCTTCAAACTGACAGAGAATCCACAGTCTCAGAGTCCCTTTTGCTCTTCAACCACATAGAAGATAACAGCTTAAAAGCACTACAGGTTATTGGAGCTATTTATGTGATGGAGGCTTGTAAAAAAAGATTTTAAAGGTCTAGGGATCATTGTTAGATGCCAGTTAAGAGACAGTTCTGTTCCATACAATGAAGTCTTGCGATTCTTGAGGAGTAAAATCACCCAAAGATACTCATTTGGGGGGAAAAAAACATCAAGAAAAGGTAATCTGCAGGGGGACTGTGGAGTGGAAAAAACACTAAAAATTAAGGAATAATTGCTCACTATAATATTTGCAGATCTGTCCTCTGTCCCTCACCCCAACATTTCGATAACTCAGTAATCAACTGCAAACCTTCTTACAGGCAACATCTTTGTAATCCATGAGGATTACAGCAGGGGAACTGACAGCCCAAACTCATCTGAGAGGAGAGATTTTGCTGAATCACCTGAGTTAGGAGCCTGACTTGTAAAAAAACAAACACTGTTATCAAGCAAGGTATATCACTCATGTTTGACATCTACATTACAAAGGCCCCTGGAATGGCTGACATCCATCCACAGCCAGAACAAAATCTGAGCCAGGTTTTCCTGGTCTTAAGGAGGTTTAAGGAAGTACCTAAACTAAAATCTAAATCCTTCTCACATTACTCTTTGCTTTCTTCAAACTCAGTACAAATTAACTTATAAAATCAATGAGGATTCAGCTGCACTGAAGGTTGACTAACTTCTATTTTGAACATGAAGTACTGTTAAAGAAATTCAACATGAAAATTCTACTTCTACATAGAAAAGGTCTCATATATCAAGAAACAAATCCACATCAGACAAAAGGTCAAATTCTCATTACTATGTTTTCTGACAGCAGTAACTTTTGTTTTCAATTAGTTAATATCTCAAACATCTGCTTGATCCTAAGCATTCCTTTATTTATTTTTTTCAATATTTACCAGACCCTTTGCATATAGATGTTCTAAACCAATCAAATATTTAGGGTGTTGGCTTTGCAATACTCTACCAAATATGAAGCTAGAGACACCCACTATAAAGACAAGGACAGGAAGGTATACAGTTATCTGCAGTCCCAAACCAAGGCCCTGCTGATCTTAGTCAATAAATCAAAATTCCTAAGTTTAAAATGCTTTAAGGATGCTGCCTTTCTTTCAGTGGAACATGGGACCCCCCATGACAAAATTATCTTCTCAAGAGCATGAATATTCCCTAATCATGGTCATGTCAAAGTTAGCTGTAATAAATTATGGCATTTATTCTTCCCAAAATATTTCCTTGCAGTCCAAACTCAGTGAATATGGACCTGATCCTACCCAGGTTCACTTCTGTTCTTCTCTCTTCACCATCGAATCCCAGCTTTTAGAACACTATCCAGACACTGCACTACAATCTTTCCAAAGGAGCAGCACTTCCCAAGGGCCATCACAGCTTTCCTTTTATTGCACAGTGTTTCCATTCAGATCTGGACTGCAGCCTCAGTCCCTAAACAAAGAACAGACTGGGGAAAAACTACTCCAGCCAATTAAACTACCTCACCCACACAGAGAAAAAAAAATCTCAGCCCAAACTACAGCTTCTGTCCCTACTCCAACTTACCTACTACTCCTCTGCCCTTTCCTATGCCCAGTAACTCAAACTGAACACCTTCTCACAGGATTAATGCAGGGAAAACCCTTACCTGGAAGGAACAAAACAATGTAGAGCCATTTTCACTCTGGAAAAAAATCTGAAATGCTCTGACTGATACCTTGCTGTCATAAATTGCCCAGAGAGGATGCAGAGTCTGCCCCAGTGGAGATATTCCAGAACATTCAGAACATAACCCTGTGCCATGTGCTCTTGGATGACCCTCCATGAGGAGGGAGGTGGGACTCATGAACCATTTTGTCATACTATGGAACCTACTGAGGATGTGTAAGCAGGAAATTCTTGATGGAAAGGAAATGCTGACATGTAGCAGGATTTAAACATCTTCAAACAGGCTCAACATGTATAACGAAAGCAAAAGAGGCTGCTACAGCCCAAGTCCTGCTGACAGTCACAATTTGCTCTGCAACACATTCACAGTGCAGCAGCTGCTCCTTCACTACAGCACTGCTGACAAAGACACTTGACTGATTACACTATTACTAAGAAAGCAGAAAGCATCTCCTTATTCCTACTCCCTAAGAAAATCCCCAAACTAAAGAACATACAGTAAGGATCATATGCCAAACTGCTTACAACCAGAAACAATGGACAAAACTATTCCTTCACTTGTAGCTTTAAAATTCCTTGTATTTTTTTTTTTCATTATGCAACATCCATTCCACTAGGAATCCTGATATGCCAAGATACAATACTTGAAATATTTAGAGAATTAGTTATTCCTCAGGGAAATAAAGAACTAAAATAAAGCATAATCTGATGGAGATGACAGAGTTTGCATTTTGTCTTAGCTATCAGAGGTTATGATTTCATACTACTTGGTCAGAAAATCTGTCTGTGAATGGGTTTTTGTCAATATGCAGAACTGCTAGAACTAAAGTGTTCCACAACCAATTATTCTTTTTTAACAAGTAATCTTAATTATTTTTAGTTTTAGATGCTTAAAATAATTGTTGCAGTAATTTTAATATTATCATACAGTATTGTTGTTGAAAGCCTTAAGGGTATTTATCTAGAAGCATGTAAAAATATTTTCCAATAAAATGAGCAAATATTGGCAATACTATAATTACAACTACAATTCCAGACATTAAAAATAAAACCATCTTGATTTACAGTTTAGTTCTATACACAAATTACCATTATACTACACACATTTAATGATGAGCCTTGTAGCAAATCATTACACAAATTAATTCAATGAACAATCCTTCATTGACACAACAGACCTTTCCACTGAAACAGCTAGGTTTAAACAAAAACAACTCAAGTATATGACAAATAAATACAGCATTACAAAACAGTTTTAAGCAAAGTTCAGAAGTTGGACTGTTCTCTGAAGCCACAAATATTGCTTGCTGATGACACGCCACTATTTTTTCAAATTGTTGAATGGCTTTTTAACACATTAATAACTTCAGTTCCTAGACCAACTCCTTAATCTTCCTCCTTTTATCAACTGAAGAACTACCTGCAGCATTTTATTTTGTAACACTGGCTGCTTTCCATATTCCAGGCACTTTTTGCATAAGCTTATCATATTAACAATTTCTTACACATACTTGAAAATTTCCATTAGGTAATCTTTGATATTAAAATGAAAATCTTTCCTCTTCATTGAAGATGTACTAAATCCCTGGACAGACCAGGAGTGCTTACCTCTCCTCTGTTCAAACAGAACAAAAATGAGCTACTTGGCTCAGAAAGTTAATGGGTAAGTAATATAGTCACTGCCAAAGAATGAAACTGATTCTAAATGTAAAAGAAAGATCTGTTGGTTCATAGACACCAGACTCTAAAGAGTTTCTAGCTGCCACAATTCTGGGTATTTAAAGAAATTTCAAACATGCTTGATTGTCACTACAAGTTGCTAATTTTTGTCCCACAGGAGCTGAACTGAACTAAGCATATGTGTGTGTCATCTTCAAGCCAAAGAATTTGATCATCACTAATTTAAACTGGAGGAGAATCAAGCAGCAAATGAGTAATGACTTAAATTAAAATGACAGTTCCTTGATCATCAATAATCAGAGGAAAAGAAGCTTAAGGGCAAAAACATAACCCCAAAAGAAATATAATTTAATAACGCACTTGAGTTATGAAATGAAGCTATTTAAGTTATTAAACAAGCAAAATTGAGGGCTTTAACTTGAACAATTACATTCACCCTCCACATTACACCAACACTGTGATGTTTTCATTCCTTTGTTTCATACAAATGCTTGTGCTCTCATTTAAACAAGCTTTGAATTTCCAACAGAAACATTTCAGCAATTCATTCACTGGTGTCCTCTCCTGCTTTAGGGTGGCTCTCAAGGGCTGTGCCACGAGCCCAGTGCTGTTACCTGCGGAGGTGGAGAAACGCTGTGTAGCACTGCTTGCGGAACTCCTGGTACTGCTCGCTCTGGGTGCCTCCCATGCCTTCCACCATCTCCTTGTTCAGCTTCATCGGGGGAGGAAGGGGCTTGGGGTCCCGGCCCAAAATATAACCAAAGTCAATATGAAACAGTTTACCTGTAGAAGAAGGAAAGACAAACACTGTGCATAATAAAAGTTCTTGGTGCAAATCTTAAAAAACCAGAATTATTAAGAAGATAGCAAGCAGCTCCCAGAAAGTTTTCTGTAAGATTTATAACAGTATATTTTTTATCTTCAGCTGTTAACTGGAAACTATGGTTTTAAAGGAAAAAGCAGATTTAAAATTCAAGCTTTTTTGATTTTTAAACAAATGGAGTATATTCACAAAGACTGTACCAATACTGAAACTGGTTAGTAGATATTAAATGCAGTTTACACAATGGATACTACTAATTCTTAACTCCTTTATAATTTTTTAGCTAATTTAAATATTAATACTTAAAGCAGTGCCATGTGTATTTTGCATTGGCATGAAATATGGTAAATTTAATATACAACTAATATAACAAAGAAAAAGTAAGACTCACAATCCTATAAACAACCTTTCAAAGTCACTGAACACCAAAGATGAGTTCAATGCTGCTTCAAAAGTCTTTGGGGTCGTTCAAATAGAGTCAGAAATTATCAGTGGTTTTGAAATACACTGAAGAAACATCACTACAACTTCAAATTTGAAACTGGATTTCAAATCCACCAAAAAGTTTGTCATACCCTTTTTCAGTACTAAAATGAATTGCCTCACTTCATCACTCTGTTTCCATTCTCAGTTCAAGTCACTGCATTTAAAACACTTTGCAGCAATAACAAAATCTTGTATATGCCTCCTCTCTTCAAATGCACAAGGCAACTGCCCTTCCTATCAACAACCTGCCATGCTGCTCACCATAAAGCTCACACATTGACTGGGGAGAATGCAGTGCTCCCTTACAATATCACTGAACTACCCATGAGATGTTATTGGTGGCAGAATGAACAACTGAACTTCCCTTGGTAAACCTCAGTTTACCAGCAACTTCAAAAAACCTAAAATATTTAGATTAACTGAAGAATAAATATATTATAAATGCACAAAAAAGTGCTAATAGAAATAAAAGTAAAACAATTCATAATTCCTAGGTAATAATTTTTTTAGGAATAATCTTGACTCAGTTAAATACTGTCTGTGTTAAGCAGAAAAATGTCTCTCAGTGTGGGCTGCAAATGTATTTTCAGTTTGGAATGTGTAATTTAAGCAATGTGACTTGAGCCATACTACAGCTATATTACAAAAAGATGGTGAGACTGCAGATATGCATGCAGATACAAGATAGAAGATCTTTTAAACAAGAAGGCAGAAAATTATTAGCATGATTGTTATCTAGACAAACACAGCACAGAAGATAGAGTCTTGCCTCAGAATTATGGAACTGAGCAGCATTAAAGACAGAGGTGTATTTGCCTTTGGGTATTTTGTGCGTTCATTTTAAGATTTCGTAAGATTAGGTTCTCAGTGCTTTTGGAAAAAAGAAATGGAGCAGTCATATTTTTCAGTTAATCACCTGTCTTTGACTGTTTCATTGAATAATAATGTAGTATCAATAGAAAAGGCTTTTTGAGATCTGTCATAAGCATTCTTCTTCAATCCAAGAAACTTATTCCATGACAATACAATTTCAAAGACAGAACACAAGTATCCTCAACAAGAGGCAAAGTATTTGCTGACTGATAAATGCCATAACCATTACATCCTGCATAACTAATTGTGCTATTAAAAATAAACATTCCTTCGATATATTCTTACTGGTCTGATAAAGGAGATTCTTTTAGAGCTTCTTTTTGTACACCAAATTTTTGAACCAACAACATACAGAACCCTTTCATCATTAAGCTAGAAAAAATGTTTAACTGAAAAGTTTTGGGGATTTGCTTTCTGTTCTCTTATTTAAATCTGTCACCTTAAAGAGTCAAGAGACAACATTTTGAATAAAACAGTAACCCTTGTAGCAGAAATATTTTTTTTCAGTTTGCTCTGGAGATAAGGAATAAAAGATGATAATTAATAATTTACACTGGTAACAAAGACATCTAAAACATTCAAAAAAATTTCAATAATTGAGTGATAGACACTTCGAAAGTGAGATGAGGCCATCCTGCATTAACATCATAGTTTTCCTAGATGTACTTCAAAATTCAGCTGTTTTTTACATACGTAAATGTACGTACAAGCTCACATTTAAATAAATATATTTAAAACCTTTCAAACCTGTTTACTAAATATAGATTTGATTAATTTTAATTCAGTTCTTGCAAGATCAATTAAACCAGCACACCATGCTACAGAACATGGACAAAAGGCTCTCCCTGGTGCTGGCACAAAGCTTCTACACCAGGAGCAGCCTGAGGAAGCATTGAAGGTCTAGAGATTTCTACAGAGGCGCCTGACTCATGTTACCCTCCAGGACTTACCAACTGAATAAGTGAAGAACAAGCCTGCTTTGGACAAATTGAATTTGCAATGGATTTAATACTGGAAATAGGTAATATTTATATTCTTATTTATGTTAATATATAATAAATTTATGAAGTTAATAAACTCAATGATTTCAAATCTTCAAGACCAAGACAAAAAGATTGCAAGTCTCTCACGTGATCATCCCAAGTGCCATTTGTAACCGGGCATTACACTGACTATTCCACTTTCATTATATTAATGAATGTGACAGTTTTCACTCAACATTACTCCAGTTCCAAGAATAAGGGGACCTCTGGAGGACATCTGGTCAAAACCCCTGGTTGAGCAGAGACAGCCAGAGTGCCTTAGCCAGGGCCATGTCCACACAGTTTCTGAGTATCCCCAGGGATGGATGGTCTCTCTACAACCTGTATCAGTCACTTCCCTGTAACACTTCATACTCATATCATGGTATTTATATACAGTAATCACCTATCCTCCCAGTAATCCAGCCTTCATGTGAACTTTGTGCAACACTTTTCTAAAGTATGTGCAATACTTTTTCTAAAGTATGTAACTGTTTGTAAAACATCATTTTACAAACAATTACACATCCTTCCTTCAATATACAGGGTGAATGTCATAACACATACCCTTCCATCAATCTTAGACCATCATGTTTTACCATGATCCAACTTCTTCCACTTTATTATGTCTTAATTTAAAGGGCTCCTAATCTTTATATATGCTTATAAATTACAGACAAAACTGGACCTCTGCTTTGGTTTACTACCGTTCCCAAATGAGCGCTAAATCATAAAGGTGAGGGGTTTTTTTGTTTGTTTCCATCATGATTTAAACTAAAATCAGGAATTACTTAAGACAACATGTGAAACAGATCTCATCTTTAAAACTAGTGCACTAGAAATTACCCTGCCCTTCCTGTTTATTGTACTGTAGAAAAAGAAAGACACTTGACTAACTGGAAGGCATTTACTGACTGGAAGAAGAAGAGAAGCTTCCAGGAGTAAGCAATATGCATATATAAAATTATTTAATTCAAAATCTAAAAGTTGATACTATTGGGTACTTTTGAGCTTTTGTTTTTTTAAAATATTTTATTATATGAGTTTGACTACCTTTTTCCACTCCTGTTTTTTTAACATATGGAATAAAGAGGAAAGGCCACTGAAGACTTCAAGGACGTGGCACAAAACATGGAAGTCACCCCAACTACCAGTCAGGGTGTCAGGGATTTCAAAGTCCATCTGACTTTCTTTCAGCAATCTTTGATTAAGTGAAGCATGGACCTGTAGAGAACAAAAATTCATACCTGGTCCTTGCAATAGCCAGTAACACCTGACTGCAGCTGGAGAGGGTGATCTGTCCTTTACTTTCATTGCTAATATCTAGATTTTAATACAGAAGAAAGTGTCTATAGAGCAGCACAGAAGATTGTTTCATTTTGCTAGGAAAAAACACTGAAAATCAGACAGAATTCTGAAAACCTTAAAATGCAGAGGACAGAGAAAATTAGATGCAATTACTGAAATAAAGTAAGTCTGACGGCAGTTGTCTCTTAACAATAAAAAAAGCAAATGATCTCAAACTACTCTGTGCACATTGCTGGGGAAGAACAAAAAAAAACACTAAACCAAAACACAATTTGTAAACCAAAACAAAAATTTCATTACTTCTTTGCAAACCTCAAGCACCACTATTATTTTAACTTGGCCCATATGAAAAAAATACACAATTTAGTTATTATTTTAACTAAATTCCTATTTTAAGTTTGAAGCAATAGGATGAAAAGTCCTTGATGAAAATGACTGGATGGATGGGGTGCTTTTCTGGCTTTCCCAGCAAATTCTAATGTTACTATAAAAATTTCTCTTTTGCTAACAGACCAGTGGCATGATGAAAAAATCTGAATGCCTAATTTACTTTCATAAGCAGCATCTTACAACTTTTCCAAGACTCCACAACAATGACAGTAATGTGAATTTTTAAGAACTTATTCAGGATACAGGTTTTTAAGCCAGTATGCAGCAACAGATGGAGGTAAAGTTTAACACTGTCACCCATGTAACAGTTAGGAGCCCAGCTTGTCTTAGGCATTGTAACTCACCTCCCTCCCCCAAGCTGTCCATTCTCAAAATACATTCTATTCAGGCATATTATAAAAAAAACCAGGTCTGATATTTATAACTAGATGACAAATGCTGTTCAAGGTACCTAGAAGAAAAAGTGTTTCAACAGATCAAAAGCTAAAAGATTATGTTCTTTTTAATAATAAGCACCACAGAAAGTAGAATTCCAGACAGAAATCTAAAGGACAAAAGTATGCATTAGTTTTTATTTTTTACAAAAATAAGGATGTCCCTCTATCAAGATCAGCAATATTTAAAAACATCCTTAAAAATGGTATTTTACATACTACAGTATTTTGCAACATTAATAAATGTACTTAACAATGTACTTGTCTAAGCACTGACCGAGACTGAATGTTTGAATCTTGAAGGTTTTCCATTTCTACCATCGCAGACCTGCTCTGGGATAGATTTTTTGACTAAAAACCACAGGAAGTACAAACACATGGTGTCATTTCATACATGAATCTGTCCAGGTCCTTGCTGTCTTTCCTGGCAACCCTTTCTAACAGAGACTGAAGAATAAATGTGGTGTCATTTGGTGACCACAGTTCTACCTCTTAGCATTAAATAAAAAGACAGCCCAGTTCTTTCATCTATTTATTCGTGATACTAAAAGCAAATGTGGCTTTCAAGTTCTGAGCACTGAGTCTTTGACCTGCTCTTAGATATTAATAACATAATTTTATCCACATAGCAATTTTCCTTCCTGCTACAGAGCAATGACAAGTGTATGGCTCAGGTCAAAGACCCTGTACTTTGGGAACTCATACTGGGAACTTGCATTTTCATGCAGGTGATCACAGGTTACTGAAAGATAAGCTGGTCATCACTAGGGTGAGAGTAAATTGGTCAGAAACACACATAAGCAGTGCTATCAAGAAACTATTTGAATGTCTAGGATATTCTAGAATATCCACACATAGCCTACAAATTTGTGAAACCTCTGCATGGCTATAAAGCAAGCTGAAATTACTAAGATATCTCTAAAGGGACAGGAGACTTCAATTGTCTATGAAAGCTGAAATACTTTCTAACTCTCCTTATGAATGTACTGACTGCCTTGCAAATATGAAGACATCCATATCTGGATATTTTATTAGTACCTAGATCCTGACTCTACAATCAAATCAGTGAGTGTAAGAGCTGCAGAACAAAATGTTCTCAGGGGAAGGCTTGGCGTAATTACAACGTAATAGCCCAGTGCATTTTCCATGGAAGCTAACTGAACATGCTACACCTTGTATATCACAATCCAGCTTCACAACCACCCAGATCTTCCCTCCAAAGCAACAAAAGGAATGTTAGCTGTTAAATCAGATGTCAACTTCAATATATAAATCAGTCTGTAATCCTAAAAGGAGGCACCGATGTTGCCTAATCCTGGGCATACAGCTGAAAAAGTGTCGTGTTATCCACAAACCACAGTAATATCTGCTATGGCTTTAGAAACAAGATATTAAAACACAGAACAATTGAAAATGCACTTTGTCTCTGTGAGAAGTAAGAAGTTCAAAGTTTTCAGAGAAAATAAATATCCCTGCCATGGAATACTGAGTGTTTAATGGCCTTTGGGTTACCAGTCAAGACACATTTATGAAATTGATGCAAGTCTTTTTGTAATTTTTAGGATTACTGACAGATAAGGATGTTTTGACTGAACATTCCCACATCTTCTTCCAAACACACTTCTAGAGTTGCCATTGAAGTATAATGATACAGTACTAAGAAATGTGAAAATCCAGATGTCTTTTTCAAGACTACTACTACAAAAAAGCCACTCCATTTCTAGAACTATAGGTATTAAAGAGTCATGAAAGACAACAGAAATTATTTCATTAGGTAACTGACATCTCATGCAAAAAGACACATTTCTAATGTGCAGAAAACAATCTATTTTTATGAACTTCTGTATCTAGAGCTTAATATTTAAATTATACTGCATCTGCATTATAAGCATGGACATCTTATGTTACAAGATGATGCACCAATTCCATTGGAAGGAGTCTAACAGATGTGGCTACATTCACCAAACAGAAAGGTTGAGCCAAAAAAAGGTAATGATATGTAAGAAATATATGAACCCACAGCTGATACCCAGTATTCTTTACTGAAAAACTTCAATTCATTACATGATTATCATCAAGAAAGGATGCATATAGGGTAGTATGATTTCGAAGGAGGTACTTGGAGCATGCATTCTTCAGGAGAAGAATGAAATTAGCTTCTTCTGACTTAAGGCTAAGGGATTCTCAGTAGCAAGATACAAGCCTTGGCAGAAGGTCTTTGTTGTATCTGGAAAATGTGGAAGATAAGGATTTCTCCTGTCAGCTCACAAAAGCCCTCAGTTTGTAGCAGACTGTGGGTTTTCAGACTTGGAATGTACGATGGATGTGCACTGCCCTCTGCTGTACTCCTCAAATTCTTCCAGTAAAGCCACTGTGCTGTACTTAACACAGACAGGTAAGATGCACTTTATCCCAAATCAAAACACTGAACTATTACTACTCTCAGCATGCAAGCAGAGCCTGCAAAGGAAAGATTTACACCCACCACAACAGATAAATGAGAGACCTCTCAAGACAGATCTTTAAATGACTGTATATTTTCAAACAGATAGGGTAAAATACATTTGCTTTAGTTGTTCCCCCATGAGCTTAGAGCAAGACCTTTTAATCAAGACCAACTGTAAATTTTCTACTCTTTCAGACTTATCATGGTTAAAAGCAGTATATGCTTCAGCCTTACCTGTAACTAATAAGCCTTCCACGTGGATGGGTCTCTTTTTCCAAATAACATTTTTATTTAAACGTTTCTCATTCAATAAACGTTTCACTTCATAATAAACACTTAACCACAACTCTTAATTCTCCACTACTATGTAATGAAGGTATTCAAGCAATCAGAACTCCTAGGGAAGCCGTAGTTCAAAAGTAAGCAAGCAAGTAAAAATAAGCCAAACAACAATTCAAAAAGATGTTCCGCTATAAGAAATGTTATTTATCAAAACTTTGTGAAGCACATGCAGCTACACATGAACTCATTTTCAATGAAAACAACTGAAATTCCCTCTGTCTCCCAGCAGTGATTTTAATAGTTGAAGTAGTTTTATTTTCAAATCCTTCATTTCCTCTAGTTAAGAAATCATCTTCTTATTACACACTGGAGCAAATATTACCTTAAATGAGACAATACAACTTACATTTTAAAATATAATCTAGCCTGCAATACTCAGTGGGTTATACTCACAAGGAAATTGCAGAGAAAAAGTACCAACACATTAGAAATTAAACAACTGTTGCTATAAAATTATACTGCTAAAAAGAATTACCTGTTTTTGTTAGCAACAGATTATCCAGATGTCTATCTCCAACTCCAAGGATGTAAGTAATCACACAATAACCAGCTGTAAAAAGTAAATTGTAAACATCAGTATGAGTACCTTTCCTGGAGAGAAACAAGTTCCACACAATTAACAACAGCATATTACATTATTTTAGCTCTAGTTCACTAACAATAAATATACCACAGAGACTTGGGGCAGGAGTGGTGCTGGTAAAGAATAATCAATGCCAGCACTATGAAGAACGTTTGAAGTACTAAAACTCTAGAACTTATTCAGTACTGTCAGGATTTTAATTTCTTATGATACAATTACATGTCTAACCCTTAAAGACTTAATTAGTTCAGTACTGGGAAAAACATTCTTCAAAAGGAGGTGAAGTATTTTGAACTAAGTGAATATACATGTTTTGAACTGAAGCTATTTTAAGGCCACTGTAAACAAATATAAAGCATGGATATGAGCCTGGATATCCATGTCAGATCACCAATGGTAAAAAAAAGCAAACAGTTTTAATAGTTGCTTTTACCCACTAACCAGAACAGTTTGAAGCAGTTCTAAGGACTGCACTATCAGAAAGAGAAGGGAAAAGGAGAAGGTACTGTGGAGTCACACCTGAATGCTCCTTTTTTTTAACTTTTGTTAAAATGGAGGTTTTTTAAATTTTATGGATAGCAAATGTGGTATTTTAACACAGTCATCAGTTTACTGAACAAAAAGTATGCTACCATTTTTTCTTTTCATACAAATGTAACCACACCCCCCAAAATGCCTAATGTTTTCAAAACCAATTAGAATTTTGACACACGTAAAGCATTTATCATTACATAAATGCTTTACGTGTCCCTGCATTATGAAGACCCCAACTCGCAATACAGAGAGAGCAGAGATAAGATTGCTGCTGGAAAGCAAAGAGTATTTATCTCATACTCTCCTTTAAGACCCACCAACAGCGGTCTTGTGTGTGACGTGTCAGGCTTAAAACTATTCTTTCTACTGCATTTCTGACAGCGACTACATGCACAGTGCCCTGTTTGCAGCCACCTAAACTGAAATAACTTAATACTTCACTCACCATACCCTTTAGACTTCACCTAAGAAGTTGCCAGCTGTTAGACTGTAACTCACCACAACTCTTAACATACGTGTCCATCACCTCTGCGCTGATTCCATAAGGGCCAGTCTCACTAGGGGCATGTTTTCTGAAGAAGTTCTGCAGAGAATGCCATGAAGATATTTAGTTATTCCACATAATACAAAACTGGGTCTTCAGAGAAAAAAAACAATTAAATCAAGACCACACATGGCCATTATTACAATTTGTTAAACTAACAACCACCCCCAAAACACCTCCTAAGATCTAGTTTAATATCACTTTATTTATATCCTGTCTCAATCATCATATTCTTAGCACAGAAACTGAAAAGCAATTTCCTTTATTAAATGTTACAGAAGATTAACAATGCACTCAAAAGTTACTAATCAGTAACAATGAGTGACAATACTTCCAAGGCAAACTGTTTAGGTCATATCAACAAAAAGTAAAACAGGATTAACAGTCCTGCTTTAGAACTATAGCTGTGGAGTATGCTCTTACATAGTTTAGCATCCTTATATGTCTCCCTATTCCTCAATAAAACCAACTGCTGCTATTAAGTTTAAAAAGAAAATAAGCCTAAGTCATGAAATGGAAAATCTGAATTTCCTGCGAAATGTGGATAGGGCCAAACAATTCTCTTAACCTTCCTGAGTAAGAGAAAACTCAGTTATATCCAAGCCTAAGCAAAGTTTCTTCCAGTAGGCACAATCTAAGGAAACACTGTAAGAAGAGTGTAGTAGTTCCCTGGACAGCAAGTAAGTTACTAAAACCATAATGAAAAACTAAGACACTTACGTAAATGAACTTCTAAAACATGAACTGCAATTTTAAGGTTGTTGATAGAAGGTAAGTAACACTGAAACACCAAAACACCTTTTCTCTCCTGGAGATCTGCATTTCACCAGGCAGCACTGGTTTTCTGGCTTTAAATCTTTTCAATAGTTAATACAGTAGTTATACAGAGTGCTCCTCTCTACTAGAACTGCTGTGAAATCCAAAATTAATATTTCCAAAAACAGTAAACTAAACTTCCACAACTCCTGAAAGTGTTCAACTGCTTTTCATTTCATTAGCCTATGATGCCCAGCTATTTTATCATGTTTCAGCACAGGAAATCTCACTCTTTTGGTGCACTGTCTATTTAGATTAAAAATTCTTCACAGGAATAATTGCTCCTTATGTCTGCATAGCAACTGAAACAATAAAAACCTATTTCCAGTCACATGATGTTGCAAGGAATTGAAAATTAACAGTTTCATAGGCATTTCTAAACAGATTATTTTATAAAAATATGTAATGGAATGATTCATGAATAGTACACCTCCAAGATTACAAATGATTGTCAAGAAAGCACTTTATAGTCTGTAAAATTATTGACTGTGCAGATGAAATGGAATCTATGGAATGGAATGGAAAGCTAAAAAAACTCCAACTTATGTAACTTGATGCTGGTTACTGATTAGTGAAAAATATTTTTTATATGTGATAAGTATTTGGTAAGCTTATTTGATAAGCAAATGATAATGAAAAATGATAAATAATTTAGATCTTCATATTTTTAACATAGGTAGTTTATACGAGCTGAGAGATAGTTTGCTTCAACTCACAGTTACTGAATTACAAAAAAAATGCAAGCTTCCATATTGTCTACACAATAGGAAAAAAGCACCATGAAAAATCAAATCCAAATAAATATGCTCTATTTTCATTAAAAAATCTATTAGTTGCTCACCTCATACAGCAATTTGGTATGTTTTTATCCAGCTATATTATCTCAAACAGCTGAGCTCTGCTATCTAGCTTGTGTGCTGGGATTGAAACCAGTATGAGTTTTGTGTGCTGCTATTCAGTTGTATGTCTCCATTCAAATCCATGAGAATTAAGAAAATCTGCTAAAAAAACTAAGTTACAGTACCTATACATCCACTATTGAGGGGGAACAGGCTTCAGAAATTGTATGAATGAATTATTTAGTTGTTTCATTGAAAAGAGAAGAGCAGTAATCAAAGCATATTTTGACAACGTCAAATAAATGAAAGACAAACATGCAGCAAAAAGTGTCAGGTATCTGCCATTTGTCATTACAGCAAAGCTGAGATTTCAATATCATAACTAAACTCTAATTTATTTAAATAGTGTTACTTTTAGAATGCAGGATACTCAAGTGGTCATTTATGTATACCTTTTCAAACAAATCCCAAATGTTTCCAGCTGTAATTTGTCTTCTAACAGACCAAAAAATCAGCTGAAAAACTAAAAATTTTGCATAACATCTACGCCTTCAGCTTACACTGTTAGATCAGAAGACAATCTACAACTCCCCCATCACGTACCTGTATAGTTTCCTCAGTAGCAAGAACTTCTGCAACTGGTACTGACGGAATAAACTGCATGAAGCCTATGACAGAAAACAGCCAAAAGAGAAAATCTCCAATGCACAGAACTTACAAACTACTCTCTAATACATGTTTATGAATTGACAGAACTAATACACAGTCATTCAACTGCTTCTAATAGCAAAAAACCCACTTTTTTGATCCCATTTTCCAATCTCCTGCCTTCAATACTTTTAAAACAACTTTTCATTAACACTAAATAAACTTGCAAAAGGTGTGTTTTCACAAGTTTTCAAGATGAGAGAAAGTATGTTGATGGCTTTCTAAATATTTATCCAGAATCTATCTAAAAGCAGCCAAGTTTGATTTTTTGTTTTTCTCCTCCATTTAATGAAAACATCTCTAGAATAGAAGTGTTAGATTATTTATTCATGATCACACTGAAAGCCAGCAGATTGGTAATTGCTGATTGTCATTTACTCCTAAATCCAGGCCAGGCTCCTTTTATGGAGATATTTGAGTCACCTTTGGAACACTGTGGTGACTCAGACTGTTTACTTCCATGGCTTAAACTCTAACAAGATTTTCTTACACACTAAGAACCCAGGGAGGAGACTCTTCTCCGTACTGTATTTTTAGGAAATAAGTGTATTCATACCATGTTTTGTACTAGTTGCCAGCACTTTATAGGGTGTCAACTTCAAATCCAGATTCTCTTTTCTTAACAGCTGGAAAAAAACAATATACAAAAGCAAAGATGAATGCAACAGAAAGTCAGATTTTATTACTAAAAGGATGTGTACTGGACATTGATCTCCACTGAAACTGATAATGAGTGAGAGCCTGTTTGGCAATTATGTGGTTTTTTTCTTAATCTACATAGGGTAATTGCACATCTATATAGAAAAGAAAAAAAGGCCACCTAGAGATCCGAGAACTCTCAAATTATCAGCAATATAAGCTGCATTAACAGTGTTAAACAGTCTTGCTTTTGACAAGGAAAATCAAGAAAACAGAAAGAACAGGATATAGATTAATAATTTTCACCTTATCCATGAGTGAAATAATCTGAAGAATAAGTTGATCTTGACGTAAATCATCGCCATGCTTAAAAATCACAGGATATTTGCCTCCATCTTCTGTCTTGAAGAATAACTGAGCAGGCATTAAGGCACTCTGCAAAAGGAAATATACTAATAAGCTGGTTCACAGCAGTGTTCATATTAACACATTGCTACAATGGATCTCAGAAATAAAATCTTTGCATTGTATTTGCATTGTCTCAATAGTTTAGAGTGTACCACTTCCAATTACCAAAAGTGCAGCTGTATTTTAATAAGAAAAATACCTTAATGCTTTCCTTCCTTTTTAATCAAGGATACATTCTCCCTCCCTGCACCCCACAGCAGCAGAAGAGGAAAGGACAGAAGTATTCAGTTTTTTTCCGTGTGCATGTAATTCCAATCAACAAGGAAGCACTATGCAAAAGGTCACATCAAAACAAATTTTAAGTCATCAGATCAAAAAGCAGCACAATTATAGGATAAGCAAGAAAGAACTCCTAGGGGCAAGTCATCTTAAACAATTAATTGCTTCCTTAATCTATTTAGCAAAAGCAAAAATGCCTTTTTACATTATTGTTTGAGAAAACCCACTTAATTGTTTGCAATTTTTCCACGTAAAATGGGTCAAAGAGGATCAATTACGTACATGAATGTTACAATCTATTGCAACTGACCAAGTCACTTCCCTCCACAGCAAACCAAAAATAATTGAGGTATAGAGTTTAATCTTGAGCAGTAAGATTACAATTTTAAATTAATACCACAAAATTATTAAGTTCCACAAGTAAAGGCAAAATTATTCTTTATGTAGTCCTACAAAAGTTATGTGATGTCCAAGGGCACCAAAAATCAGTAACTCCTTCCTTTTTAATTCCATTCGTTTTTTTTATCCCATAGCCCAGGGTGAGATATTAAATGGAAAAATGTCAACTGTCAGAATTAGGAGAAGAAAAAAATCTCTGATTTTGAAACAAGTTACATCTCACATTTTTGGTCCTACTTTTTTTGCACAGCTACAGAGGACCAATATGTAAAAGATTGCCTTGAGTTTGTCCTGAAGAATTTCAGCTATTATTACTGATAGGAAACATTTGGGTGCTGTTCCAGCAATCTGTTTTTCCACATTCTTTCCCTAACTCTTAAATCATACTCACACAAAATGATGATTTGCAAAAGTTTGCTTTCCTAACAAAATCTTTTCAATGTTGCCTCCAACCAAAGGTGCAAGAGCATGCAACTGCAGAAGCCTCTGCTCCAAAGGAATTAACTTGATATAGAGAGAAGCAAGCTAGAACTGGTAGAAAACTATGCACAGTATCTCTGATTTTAAGCAAACTCAAACAACAACACAGTCAACAAGGACTCTGATGAAACTACTGTACATAATAAATCTAGGACCTATCCGAGATGAGAGATTTAACACTGGCTGTCGTAGCAGCCTACAGGAATTCTTTAACTGGCAAACAAAGGCCTCTGGGACATAGGCCTGACTTGTACAGAAAATTTTGGTCATCCTAAAATTAGACTGCAGTCACCTATAGGAGTTGAACAAAAACTAATAAAATGGTCCAACCCCACTGAGCACAGGTAACAACTTACACTGCAAGAATTAACTTACATTTCAAGCAGTAAAATTAACAAAATAACCCCAGCCCTTTCTACATTACATTGGCTGTTTTATGGTCACACGCAGCTACAGTTTGGTTTAAGGAATTACCAATCACAGGGATATAGGATTTACTGCAACTACATGAAATGGACCACCACAGTGCTTTCCACTCTCTATGAACTTAAGCTTTATTAAGCAATGGGACAGACCCACAGATGTAAATGAGACACAGCACACCTGCTTTTATTTACATGATTTTGATCTTTAAGTGGTACTCACACAAAATTTTGGAAAATTCTGAACTTCATCATCTGTTTCACTGTTATAAAAGCTACTTCAAATTAAAAAATTTAAATTGAAAACCAAAAGAAAATAAGGAGTTGTTTAACCACTTAAAGAGCATGCTATAATTGCATTTTGCCTTGACTGTGTCTGTCCCTTTACATCTTACAACTGATGTTTCTAAGTTTAGGATTCACAAGACTTGTTTGTATTTCAGCTACTGTGAAGCTCTCACTTACCTTGAAGAGTGTGGCTTTTTCAGGGATTATTCCTTTAATTTTCACCTGAGGCTCCAGAGGAAGTGGAATAAGTTCCATGTCTGCTAAATTCATCTTTTCATTATCAGCTAACAATGCCTGAAGCCTCTCATTCTAAAAGAATGAAAATTTGTTTAAGAAAAACACCACAAAACATAAACCACACACTAGGTATATATGAAGTCCACAATGAAGGATGCATTACTAACGAATATTCAATTTATTCAATTCTTTATCTGTACAAAGAATCAAGGTTTATTCATATAATCATATAATCCAGGAGAATAAAACTTTCTATCTGCAGTAATTTGAATAACAAAGGAGACAGTCCATTTAGTGTTAGCCCCGTCAAGCAATTTTCTAAGTTCCAGATGTGACAGTCTTAAAACAACTTACTTCTAAACTGCCTGCACAAAGCACAGGATGATCTGTTTTTCATACCAAAAATTAAATGTTAGTTGTATTTCAGAAATTGATTAAAATCCAACTCAGAAACTTTATATCCCTCAATTCCACCAAGGAATTTCCTACTACCAAGGAACCAAATGGCCAAAAGCTTTCACTGATCTCACTTCCAGGCTTGCTCGACATTCCTCCATCTGTAGTTATCAGAAACACAAAACTGCTCAACTTTTGAGCATTTTACACTTGGTGTCCTACATAGTAAAGGTCGAATACATTAAAATCTCTAGTCTTTTCCCTTGCTGAATATGAAAGACACAAACAGACACTAAGGAGGACCACAACTGTTAGGAGTAGTTCTAGTGCTTAATTGCTGCTAGCTAGATTGAAATCTAAAAGTAAAAGCCATGTATTTCTTAGTTTTACAGCGATCTCTTAAAAGAATATACAACTGAATACTACCAATGTACAAGCAGGAAAGAGAATCTTAGAAATTGAAAAATTCTCCTCTTCGTTTAGCCTTTGTTATCGATACACAGAACAAATTGCCTCACTTTTTGTTAATAAGTGCTTTTTCTGCATAAATATACCCCATACATTTAAAGAAACCATCACACTGAAAAATTAATGTTTAAAAATACTGATGTGTGTCAAAGGAAAATATTATACACAAACAGAAATCTCTCTGCATTTCCACTTTCTTTCTCAGACCCATTTGCCAGGTGCACTTAAAACACTTTAGCTAAGAAGGACAAAGCTTCCTGAAACATATAACAGAAAGCCTCTTCCTCAAGACCCAACAGAAAGCAGAGTTCTGATAAACACATACATTACAGAAGAACAGCTTTTTTGCTTTTGGAACAAATGAAACCTTGCTAGTAACTGATTTTTACTATCTGTCCTGCCATATCACTCACATGACAATAACCTGATACTCTCCCACATCCCCACAAAATGTTCAGTTATATCATCAACTGTTTAACAATTCTCACATATTTCTTTGGCCAAAGCACCCAATGAGTGCTTACAAGGGCCTCTTCTGTTTTCTATCTACAAACTTCAAACACACTTTGGAGTTTTGAACTATCAGAACCTTTCTAAAGTTTGTTCACAGTTAACCAAAATTATTGCAGAAGGATGGAAATCTGTTACAGATCTCAGTGCAAAGGAACTTTAATAAAAGGCTAACATTCCTACCCATTGTCAAATTTAGGCCACAGACAGGCTTTCCAATCCTTTAGTTACCTTCTTCTTACGATTCCCACTTTCACGCTGCACTGCTTTCATTACATGAACCAGCCGATCTACAAACGTCTGCTGGGCTGCCAGAAGCGAGCGCATAACTCTGACAGACTTATCACCCTAAAAGAATGAAAAGTAACAGAATTAATTCCTCATTCTGTAATTATTTTATCTAGAAATCATTCCTTTATTCTTAGACCTTTGGGCTTTTAAGAGGTTAAGTGAATAATGATCAATTTCCCGTCAATTCAAAAGGTATTTTCTGTAAAACACAATCACAGTCACTGTAGCTGGCAACCAATTATCTGACCTAACAGTGCACTTCAATTTGCTTCAACAATTTCAGTGGTGAACAGCCATGCGTGACAAACCAATTCACACAGCCAAAGTAAGTTAGTGTGGGTAACTGCAAAATATTCTTATGAAGCACAAGAATCAGATTCAAGTAACCCCCCTAAAATTGGAAATAATACAAAGGTGAGATACATGGAAATATGTAAAGACTGCAGACTTGCTATACAGTAAGACTTCCAATTCACAGAATTTTTTTCAGCTGTTTTAGGTTTTTTTTCCCTGCTGCTCCAGCACCCTCTGCTGCCGACACACAGAACAGCAAGGGCTATTTCTGAGTTCCACATGAGTCTCTCCACTTGCGCCTCAAGGACAAGAGTTTACAATAAATAACTAAATAAACAGTAAATAAATAACACATTGATTACAGAAGGCTTTTAAAGTGTTTTAGACCCATTGTAAGGCAGGGTATTTTAGAATCAGTATGTTACTAACAGGAGCAAGCAACAAAAGAGAAGAAAGAGTTCTCAATATTTGCTCTTTTCATTTTTGGCAGTTTCTTCAGCTTACAAATTCAAAATTCGAGCAGGAGTGGAAGCTTTTATAAAATTTCAATGCATGTGACACACATACACAAAAAAACCCTACACATCCTCTTAAGACACCTGAACCTTTTTAAGGAAGAACTATCCCAAATCATTACAGACTTCCTGATACAGAGCCATTACCTTCAGCAAAGCCTGACTGAATCTTCTCATCATGTTTAAGTACATTTCGTGAGTCTTTGGGTCCCTCTGCTGTGTATCTTGGTCTTCACACTCCACTATTACATACCTGCAGCATAAAAACAACCGGAGTTACAGCTTCCTCTTGGAGCTACACAATTTGAGTGAAACACAGTAACCCTGTATTACAGACCTGGAACTAAAAATGAAGATCATCTTTAGCTCAACCAACAGTTGAACTCTTAAAATTGCATAGTCCCCAATTCCATTTGGATCAGGAGAGTCTATCAAAGTGTCTGTGGTTTTTCACTTACAGTGAAGTGTCATGACGCAAAGAGGACACACCTGAAGTCCAAATCACATGAACTCTCCAGCCAAGAAGTACAACTGAGCATGTTTTCCACTGTGAACCATAATTCCACCTGCTACATAATTTAGTGGCTGCAAACTTGTTATTCAAGAGCACCTACAACACAAGGAGAATCTCACTCTACCTGCTCCCTGTTTTACCATTAGAAATGGTACAAGGAAAAGTATTCGTCCTAAAGCAGCTGTGCAGAGTGTACATGCCAGAGTTTCCATTTCTAAATTATTAACTGGATACAAAACTTAATAGTACAATCTGGAACACCTACACTGAAAATTTATTTTCATGTTAAGCAGTCATTTGGAGTGCTTTTATCTAAATTTCTACTTGCAGCACTGACAAGCAAAGAGTAGCTATTAACTGAAAGCTAGGTACATATCTGCTTTCTGTTGGTCAATGTATCTCCTAGTACTACCCAGCAAAAACATTCAATAGAAATATAACGAAGTAAAAGCATAATAAATAGTATTAAAAAAAAAAAAGAAATTAGCATCTCAGTAAATTTTCAAACACTGCATTTGGATTCAAAAGTGACTACTTCAAGACAGTCTCTTGGACATTACACGTCAGCAAGAATTACACCTTCCTTATGTACTTGTACAGAATCTCTTCATGACAGAGTAATTGTGAGACAAGACTAGAGGTCTGTCATTTGCAGCTGATCAAATTTGAGTAGTCTTATTTATAAATACACAGCGTATTACATCCACTATAATAAGGCATATGTAGCTTATTCCAGGTGTACAACCCCAATGAAATCTGTATCTAAAGATTGTTCCTAGGGCCTTGCTAATGCATGTTATAGACTGTTCTCGCACAAATGTGTTTATAAAAGTAAGTCCAAAGTCTGCATGTAAACTTGAAGGAAAAGGAGAAGTAATGAATTGAAACATGCCATTTTCATCTTCATTTGTTAAAAAGCCCTGGACAGTTTCTCAAAGTTATTCGAAGCAAGGAGTAAGAGTAATGCTTCATACTTGGGTAGGTGTCTCGTATGTCCAAAGAGGAGACAGAAAAAGCAGTAGCACTGACTTCTGAGCCACTGTTAAAGGACAGGATAGCTTTACAATGACAAGTGACTGTGCAGAAGGTTCTATTTTCAAGGGTTATTGTACTTTTTCCATTGATTATTTTAGTTGCATGCTGTGTCTGGATAGTTGAAACATACAATTGATCAGCAGCCATGAGGATTTATGGCTACGTCACCTCATACAGTGGCTGCAACATTTGTATTTTGTCACTGAGAAATTGAGATGTCTGGAAAGAAAACAAAGAATAAATTGACTAGGGTTTTTGGTTTGGTGGACTTTTCTTATTCGTTTTGTTGAATTTATTTTTTTTAAGTCATAAGTCAAAAAAATCCACAGAGTTAGGGACATTTAAACTTTCTGTAGATGGAGTGTCTGAGATGTTGCTGAAATGTAAGAGAACAGTTTCTATCAAGGTGATAGAAGAAAGTTAAGATAACAACATCTTAATTAAGAATATTTGACTAGGTCAAGCGCTTGGTTTCTACTCCCACCAATTCAGACTACGATTATTTTAATAATTTATATTTAATAGTAATTTTTAATGAAGCTGAACATTATCTTTGGCCACCGCAACAGAAGTAACTATTCCTTGCAAATGTACATAGGCAATTCAGTTAAGTATCTTAAAATTCAACCTAATAAGAATAATTACACAATAAAACTTACCAAGTTATAAATGGACTCTCTCAGCATAGTTTACAGGTTTCTTGCAAAAATTTTATAAAAACTGTTGATTATATTTTACATCACATTTCACATTTAGTTCCCAATTCACAATTTATCTGTGGTTAATGCTCTTAGCACACTAAAATACGATCATATGATTAGTATTTTTGGTTATTTTATGCAGCTACAAAGGTTACAAATGAGAATCATATGACTTGGGTTTCGACACATAAAAGGCACCTAAGGTCTTCCTTTTAAAATACATAAGTACGTGCAAGTAAATAGCTGTGAGTGTTGTGCATATGCAGATGTTTGTACACTAATACACACACAGACTCACACTTTCACACAGTACAGTTCTATCATCTCAGCTTGCTTCAAATGAGAAAATTCCTACATGCACATACTTGTTCAGAAGGCTTGCAGATTACTACTTTAGACATCTAATTTTACTCCTGATGCACTGAGCTGAGACAAGATCCTGAACTAAGCAATCCTACCTCTCTAGAGTATAGATGAACTAATATTTACAACTAAATTTCCCCCTTAAGATTGCACATATCTGCAATGACATTTTGTTTGTGCTCATAACCATAAATGGACTAAAATTAAAATTAGGTTACAATTAAAAGAAAAACTCCTTTATGAATCTTCTTAACATACACCTTTGATTAATATTTAAGTGCGTAAGTTCAGTATTCTAGCCAACATTGTCAAAGATTATACGCACAAAAATTACAACCACACAAACAGCAAAGCAGAGCAAAGGTGAACTTAATCTCTCCCCAAAACCATAAATAACTTGAATGACAACTTCTAACACTGGCTGCTTTTTGTGACATTGTATGTAACGTTCTAGACATTACCTTCCTTAGTCTAACAGTAATGCGTATTTCTACATTTCATTAGCCTCCATTTATAAATTAATATGTTTAAATGCCTATTGTTTTAAATCTACTACTTTACCCGGAGAAAAACTGAGATTCTGAAGCTCTCAAGACAGGTCATCTTTTCATGAGCATCCTTCTGGACATTATAGCTTTGATTTCAATTACATCTTGATACAGTATAAATATACAGTTTCTAACATACCAGTACAAGTAGTTTGCCAACGTGGAATTTTTGCATGCCCGTGATATCAAGAAAGTGCAAAGGTCTTGCTGGAAGGGATTTAAGAAGAGCAAAAAAAAATTTAGGTTACAAAGAAATCTAAGCATCTGAGAGAGAGAAAAAGTTAAGGAAAAACACCAAGTAAATGTAAGAGTTGTGAGAGATATATTTCCTTCTAAAATCTGAATCCAATCCTACCTAATATTTAAATCACAATAATTTACATATTCCTTTAAATTTACATATTCCTTTAAATCCAGCAACACTACTAAAAGTAGAAGGTCTGCTACTCCAGTAATGTAGTTACCAATATATAAAAAGCACTTCAATGTTCTCCAAAAAGAAACCTTTAATGTAATTTCTATTTATAATATGTTACTCTTTCCTTCTATGCAATTGCATCTTGCTGTAAATGCCAAAACATTCAACTCACAAAGAGATTTCCTACTCAGTTTTGTATCCAGAGCATCTAACAATCTTGAAGATATTCTAGATTTCAAGAAAACAAATTTGTATAGGATACACAACATTTACCTGCTTCCTTCAGGTTTAATAGTCCAGATAGCAAAAAATCTGTGTATCTTTACTGATATGCTCAATTTGAGATTTATTTTCTATGCAGTATTGAGACTCAAAAAAGGCCAATTTGCAACAGGGAATGGATCATTAGTTCAAAGACCAATTAATCCGCATATCAGGCTAATATCAGATTCCTTCAAAATGTCTTTACCTTCTATCTTTCCCTTCTTTCAGTCCCATTCCTATTATTTGTCTACTTTTGGCATAAACTGAATATAGTCCTTGGCAGAACTAAACCAAGACAGTGTCTCACTTAGGTTCAAAACAGATGACATGTCAAAGAATACAAAAGAAGAGACTGCAGAGACTGAAATATCTGGATAACTGTTTTCTATTACAAGACTGTTTTAGAACACCCTGAACACGTGCAGTTTTCAGTGTCTTATCAGTATGTGATAGCCTTTGCTATCACATAATAATTTTCTCCTTTACAGAAGAATACTTTAATTTCAATTTCCAGGCCCCCAGCTTTGCATACTGTGATCATGGACATAAAGAGACACTCTGTAAAAAAATTCAGTTAAGCCATTGCTATTTTCTTAGCATTTACTTTATATTCTTTGGACACTTTAAATATTCAGTGAGATTTACCCAAAGGATTCAAATATTCGAACATAAAAGCAAGAAACAGTACCAGGTCACTAGAAACTTACAATAAATAGAAAGTAAATCATGTGACTTACATCAAGGTTTTCATTTTCTGCAAGCTCTTTTGTCTTAGAAGTAAGAGGTGGAGAGGAAACAGGTGGAATAGGACTCATAATCTGGGAACTACACAAAGGAAAGCACGTAACTAGTAGGATTCAAGGTTCTTGCTTAGGGGCCAGGGAGCATGCATGGAAATCACAATGAATTTCACTTCCACAGCATAATAAATTCAGAAAACTGGAAGAGTTTCTTTGCTACCTTTCTTTGAAGGTAGCATCCCAATCTTGTTTCAGAACAAACTGCATGAACAGCAACTTTGACAGCTGCAGCTCCTGAAAACAGCAAAAATCTGTGCCTGGAGAGCTATACAGTTTATGCCTGTGAAGGACATTCACTCAAACAAACTTTGCATTTTATTAAATCTTCCATTCAAAATAAGCAGACATAGATATGAATTCAACAAGTCTGCATTTTCAGGAGTTTTCTCAAATGTTCTAGGATGAAACTGCTGATACACAACACCTGCAAGCACTAGTCTTTGGAATGAAACTACACAGAGCAGACAAATGCTTATTTGTAAGGCAAAGTTTTCAGATGGTAAATTTACCTGAAAAGAAGTAATTAAATAGCTCTCCTAAGATCTAAGTATCATTTGAGCCTCAAAATACACCACCCTTCCCACAACACCCACTTTTACGGCTTTGCAGAATGATCAAAAAATACACCCTTGTGTTACAAAGTCATTAGAAGCTTATGACTGAAAATTCTAAAAGTCTGTAACAAATATTCACAGAAGTCTTTGGTTACCAAGCTCATTTGCACTTTGCTTAACACTTTATTAGCTACCTCAGTCTTTCTTTTGGATTCCTGCAAGACTTTTTTCCACAAGTCTACACCTTCTTTTGCAGAAGCAGAATGAAATTTCTTTTCACTTCAAATTGACTGGACTTTTAGATCCACATTCTGTGAGGAAAGCAGGGAGTGGAACCTCATATAACTTCAGTGAAGACATCTTAACTTTTGCAAACACAGAAGGAAGCAAGAGCAGTGATTTTCCTGCACTACAGAAGTTTTCTTCCTTTTGTGTAGTAAGAGCAAAGGCCACAACTTTAACACTGTTTGCTCTTTAAACTATGTATAATCAGGAAGCACATTTCATTAATGCTCCAGATTTGTTAGGTTTTATTTTATTCTTGGGGTTTTTTTTTAATGTTCAGATTACAAAATAACATGATGAATATGCAAAGCTCCCCTAAAAAGAAGAAACAATTTGATGTCTTAGAATATTACATGTTTCTGCCTTTCTGCTGGAAGTCTAAGCTTCTTACCTGTCAATTTCTGAAGCATTAGATCCAGATGTTGTCATAGCTTCTGACATGGAACCTTGACTGTCCCTCTTGCTAGGCTCCAGGCCATTCTTTATGTCATCAAAGTTTTCATATTTCAATGCTTGGACTAACTGTAGCAGGTACATCAGCAAATCCTTAAGGGGGGAAAAAATCCAAGTGAAAGAAGGGTGTCAGTCAAAGAAAACTAGAACTCCTTCTGTTTACAAAATTGTAATTTACAGATAAACTTAGTCAAGATTTAGTGACCTCTAATAACATAGAAATGGAATTCTCCCTAAACAAGCAATGTACCATAGCAACACTGGTTGCTGGATGCAGTTTGACTCCCAAAAGATAGTGCATTATCATTCTACTATTCTTTGCTACTCAAAGACAGTAAGTACTAATTTAGTGAATATTCAGGTGCAATTGCTATGTTAAAATTCTCTTTAGTTAAGCTGCCCTAATTGCTTCCAGCATTCACAGAATAAAGCTTTCAATTTGTGTCTCAAAAGAAGAAAACTGAAAAGTCAAACATAAATTGTACTATGGTATCAAGAATGGAAATTCTCTCTTCTCTTATGGACTATTTTTTCATCCTTTGTGTAGCTGGGGATCTAAGACAAAAAAAAAACCACATATCTAATCTGTTTTAGATTAAAGATCTGTTTTAGATTAAAAATCTGGTTTAGATTTTTAACCACTTACTGTCTAAAATCAGCTCGTTGCCTTTACTGTTCAACTTCTTCTGTTTACTTACCTTCCAATACTTTGTAAAAGGTACATTTTTAATGTCACAGCAGTGTGACCTAGGCTATTGAAGTAGGCTTGAAAAAATACAATTTATTAATGCTCCCTATTTTAAATTCCATTGATTTCCAAAGAATCAAGAGTTATGGTAATACATTCAAACCTGGGTTTGCTTTTTTTTTAACTGTCAAAATAAAATATATAAATCACTGATATGTAACATATTAGATTCTATTAAGTGGGCTCTATTTATAATCACAGCTCATCACATTCTAATCAGTACACAATTAGAAACCATTTCCACAGATAATCTACTCATTTTCTTTAGCAAAAGAGTATGATGATATACTGAATTCACCAGATGGATCTGCTGAAAATCCTTCCATTTACTATTTAAGTTCAGAGCACTTCTGCAGGTTAAGACTCCAAATTTATCACTGGTTTTTGGTGAGAGCTGTTTTACCTTGTTTAACAAAACCAGCTACTATTGGCAGTTCATGCTAAGACAACTACTAATGTGTGACACTTAATTATGTAAAGACTGCTCCCCAAAAACCTTACAATAAATAGCAACACAGTGAATCATCTTTTGTTTTCCTTTACCAATATTCAGGAAAATGTCGTTAAAAATAGCAAATATTTCAAGGACTCAATGAGATCAAAAATCCTGGGACCAGCTGACTTTTCCATGTACCAACAGAGCAGTGAATACCTCATCATCAGCCTGCTGAAGCCTGGCGACAGCGTAGCGCCGCACCGTTGGGTTGGTGAAGTGAGATGACAGAAGCTCCAGAGAATCTTCCACATCCATGGGCTTCCACTTGCCCAGCAGCTCCAGCGCTTGCTTTGCCTCTTGTGGTAGATCCCAGTTGACACACTTCAGGAACTTTGTCAAGGCCTAAACAGGAGAGTGGACAATTCATCAGTAGAAAGCTAGCCAAAGGAAATTATTTCAGAAACTAATGTCTCACGCAAAGGCAGAAATAGATTCAGATTATATTTACGTAAGCACGGACTTGGAAAAGCTTACTGATAAGGGACAAAGTCCGTTCCAGCCCAAACCATTTAACAACTCAACTTACCTTCTCCTGATGAGTAAGGTAATATCTGAACTTCCACACCAAATCCTGTTCCTCATACGTTAGTTGCTTTGTTGGTGGATAACTCACTATGATCTATTTGACACAGTCAGAAAGCAAGTTTAAAAACAGGCAAAATCAACAAGTTAAGAAAGTATACTGTGAGAAAGCACAACACTGACAACACAAAAATAGCTAGGGAAAAAAAAAAAGCTTTCCAACAACACAAAGCTATGTTATCATGGTGATGCTTCTCAGTTACATGGTTGATTGAATTGACAGTGCAGGCAAGTACAGTTGCTTTACGTGTACCACTCACACCTACATGACATGCACAAAATACACATTCTTAACCCCCCTAAATGGTTAAAAAAAAAAAAGAACAAGCACCTTATGCTCCATTTAACTCATGATTTTCTATAAACTGAAATTAACTGTACTTTCCTTAAACCATATATTATTACCAACCTACCTAATAAAACTGAACTTAGCCATCATATGACTGACTTACATTAAGTTGGTCTCGTGTAGTTGCATTAGGCTTCAGGTCATGATCAGAAGGTCCGCTTCTTAAACTTCGAGCAAGTTTGTGATGTTTGCTTTCTACTAAGTTCTCCTAAATGCAGAGGGTAAGTCAATATTTATAAATACTAAATTTCAGAGAATATTACTATTGAAGCAAAACCATCTAGAGAAGACTCACCAGTCTCTTGAAAAATGCATGAAAATGAAAATTCAAATCTGAAATTACAGCATCTTCTGGCCTTTTTTGTTTGTTTATTTTACAAAAAAACTCCTTTAATAATACCTGGAGGATTGTTGGGAGTTTTGAGAGTCTGTTTCAGTTTCTGACTTAGCATTAACAAACCCTACCTTGCCTTTCGGTGAATTGCTGCAAAATGTAAGCATTTCAGTCAACACATCCATGATTAACAGCACTCAAACGTGCTAAACACTTCATAAACATTTTCTTTAGGATGATGTTTGCAGCATAAAGCTTTGTATGCAAGAAAAAACATCTCAAAAACTTGTCCCACTGTTAATACCATGTTAGCAACAGTAGGAGCCACAATAGGAGCCACAGTGCCAACGAGTTTTCAGCAGCCAAGGCAGTTTCCAGCATTGTCAGACTTGCTATTGCAGTGTTAGATTACACGGTGCTCAAACAGTGTTGCCAGTACAAGCCCACTTACATTAAGGTTCCCAAAGCTGCCAATACCAGTCCCACTGAATTGGCATCCACAATAATGGAAATCTTTTCTAGAACTGTACTTAGGCACTGTCTACATGAAAGACAACATACAAGAGAGTGTAGGGAGAAAATGTTTTAACAGAGGAAGCGACCAAGAGTTATTGCACCAGTCACTAAATTCTACATTCCTCTTCTTCAGCTCCCTCTTATCTTCCCACCCTCTAACCTCTTTTGCCAACAATCCCCCTTCTCTGCTTTCTTACACCTCAGAAGCAAGCACATTATGCATGGAAAGAAGGAGGTGAACATAAGCATTAAATCAATTCTTGTATTTTAATCTAGCAGCAGCTGAAATAGAAAAAAAAATACAAAATTCAAACCCACTGATACTTCTCAATATATCTTGCCACTGGAATTTTAAAATATTTAAGATGGCAAGCTTTCATCTACGTTTATGAAAAGTTCAACAGTAACTCTGTAATACAGATGGCACCACATGTAGCATGCTTACCATAGACATCTGGGGATCAGGAATCTTAACAATTTCAGGACTTGTTAAAATTGGAGATGACTCATCACCATCCTGAATGACAAAAAGTTGAAGGCATATTAAACATTTCAAGTTTTAGGGAGAAAATGTATCACATTAATGCATTATGAACTCTACTACAGTAGAAGAATGATTCAAGTGCTGACAGTTTTAAGGGGAAAAATAAAACAATAAACAGATTATTTTTCTTGTCTTTTTCCCAGATGACAAGCGATTTGGCAAGACACATGTAAGTTAACCAGAGGAGACACAGCTTGACAGCTCACTACTGTGATGCCACACAGGTGAGTGGAGAAATTTGCCACTATTGTCATGTGTCCTCTGGAAGCATGAAGAGAAACAAAACCAGGCTCTGTATTTCCACCAAACCCACAAATTTTCCAGAAAAAAACACCACGTTGCTGAAAACACCTCCTACAAGTTCAACATTTTAAAAGTTCACCAGAAAGATGAATGTAACCTTATCTCTCAGAGGTTCTACATGCTTAGAGTCTAATATATGCTGTTTAAATAAGGAAGGGAAAAGCTACAAGATTCCTGTTTGAACCAGACACAAAAAAAATTAAAAGCCTGACACCGCATTACAAAAGTAGCAACTCTGTCTTCGAGACACACAGCAATGTACTGGTTTTGCACTTCATAATACAAGGGGTTCCTGAAGGTAACTAACATTAATAAAAGCTATGAAATGACATTTCATTTAAAATACAGAATAAAACAGTCAAACTCAGAACAAAACAAACTCAGCATGACATGTGCTCTGCCATATTTATATTGAGTCTGTTTTCATTTATTTTGCTGTAAATTTGAGATCAGAATAAAATTTTTTTGACATACCAACATTTCCCACAGTAACTAAGTTTTGAGGTAACTTGCTCAGGTTTCTTTCTGCCCCCATCCTCTTTTTTTCCCTACTTTTCCAGTCACATATGCCTTTTGGGGTAGCTATTTTTTAATACTTTTAAGAGGTAGCTTTCAAAGGAGAGGTTGTTTCAAGGGGGAGAATCATTTGTCACTAACAAGATACATGAGTTTAAAATTGCTATTAACCACACAGGAGAAACTTTTTTTTTCCTACTACATACATTTTGTGTTGCTGGCTACAGTAAAATATCTCTTATTATTAAAATGCTTCTTTAAAAAGACATTTTTAATTGCATTTACTAGTGTCCTATGCATTTCTGAAGTAACAATTTTGACAAAAGTCAAAGTAAAAGCAGTAAGAATACACATATCCTTCCTAGTTAAGGGAAATCAATGCACAGTCTGCCTGCGGCTGATGATGGTCCAAGAATGTGAGCAAGTTGCTTTTCTCATTAGTCTTTGAAAAACAAATGCATGCACACAAACACTGAAGAGGCAAAGATGACATTCGCTTACAGTATCTCTGCTCTAAAAGCATATTGCCTAAATAATGAACTTAGCTCTGACCTCACTGCACAGAAATAACAACATCAAAGTATTTCCATAATAACAAAATATGCTGCATCACTAACAGTAGACTGAACTGGGCTGGAGTCGCAGTGACAGATCAGCATTCACACTGAACTAAGCCTCTGCCATCTCACCAGGCAGAATGCTCAGATCATGTCATAAAGTCAAATGATATAAAAAACAATGAAATTGTTGCAGGTTGGTGGAATCCTTCTCATAAACACATCTGATGACAGACTGACTTCTATATACCTGTAAGATATTTCTTATCTTCCAATTCTAAGGCTGCAATCTGACTTTGCCTTTATAGAAACACAAGATTCCAATCTCTCAGTGACAAGTCTCCACTCTGTTTAGAACCTTCACACAAAAACCCTGTATGAAAAACTTGACACTGGAGGGGATTCGGAAGCAACAAGCTACTAAATTGCTACTAACAAGCATTCAAACTCTTAAGAGTATCCAGGTCCCATGAGGATTCTCTAGGGATAAGCAGTAGGAACACCCATTGCTGTACTTTTTCCTCAGTGAAAAAAATATAAAATCACATACATTAACTGAAAAAGGAAAGGTTTCAGCCTGGTAAAGTGGAGCACTTACCCCACAATTAGAAGTCTCTGAGAGATATTAAAAATTCAAAACTCCCTAGGATGAGAATGATAAAAGCACTATTGTCTAAATTTTGCTTACTTACAAAACAACAACAACAAAAAAGCCTTCAGTGTGTCATGTCAAAATGTTTATAAATGAAGTTATGGAGTTTTTTCCCCCAAGACTAATGTTAAAAGAATGATTTGTACACTCATTGCTGGCAACCCCTTTTGGAACCTTTCAAAAGAATCATGATAATGACTGTTTATTTAAAACTCTTTGAATGTAGTCAGATCATGCTGTAGAGTGAAGCTGACAAGTTCTAGCTATTCAGTTCAACTACCAGGAAAACCATTCCCAGTGTTTCACTGCATGACAGAACAAAGCCTTAAGCCCAATCAAAACTTGCCATGACATCAAGTTTTTCCAAGCATTCATGGGACAAGTAACAGTGTCAGGAGCAAACATTTTGAAACAGACTGCTTAATGAAATACTCAAGAAGGCAGAATGACATTAGCTGTCCCGTGAAGGATGTCAGCTGTTTAACTACCCTCTGTAATTCTCCATTATACCTTAAGAGCAACACATGCAGCACCACAACCCTGACCATACAAACTTACTAAACCAAACCAGTGCCCAAATTAGCACTTGAATTTGGCCAAGCGCATACTTTTGAAGTGTCTTTCCTGATCATGCCCATATAGACGGCTTTAGTCCACGTCATGGAAATCTCAGAAATCCCTGACATCCTCTAACTGCCAATAACCACGTGGGATGTGATGAAAGACAGACCAGAGCACAAGAACACAGGGCAGACACTGGGCCTTCAGCAGCCTCTTCCCTCAGTGAATCTGCTCCTCTTGGCTGCAACACTTCCCAGCACAGGCAGAACCTGAGATGACCTGCTACTTTGCCGCCATGAAACAAAAGCAACATCAGTACTAAACAGCACTACCTGGCTTTAAACTGCTGTGTTACAGAGTTCTGCAGATATTTCACTACACTAAGGTCAGTGTGGGTGACTTTATACAAATATTAGAGTTCATTTAAGACAGTCCACAAAATTTGCAGAATTTCCCAAACCAGCCACATTCCTCTGTACTTGCCTGAAAACCAGTTTCAGAGCACAAATAAATAAGGAGGTTCTATTTATCTTATTTTTTAACCATTTAAAGTAACACTAATGTGAACCAACATCCTCCTCACAAAAACAAAAGGAGAGACAACCACTGGTGTAGACAGTACTTCTTCCTTTAAATCCATGGAAGACCTCTGATAATCAAATTTATTTATCTTTTTTAATGAACTGGATGCAGCAGTGCAATCATTTACCCAAAGACATATTTCACTTGAAACCTGCACAAAAATACATTAGTGATAAATGCTGGTGTTATTTGTACTTGGTAAGTCACTCAGAATTTCTGCTGAGAATCAATTTCTGAGAATCAAAAGTGATGCTGTCATTACTAGCAGACCCTATCCCTCATGTCTTGAACACTGTATTTAAATGAAGCTAACACAGAACATGGAAGGAGACACTGCCACCTCACTTCATTGTAATTGAATGTCGAGTCAAAGAACCCCAAATCCTATCAGTCGCTGTTTAACAGGCTAGTTCTTCCTAAACACTTGAAAACAAATATATCAACAAAACTGTGACAAGTAATCTCCACTTTGACTATCGGTCACAAGCAGATGACAACAGAACCTTCTTTCATTATGCTCGGTGCGCCGGATTGGCGATGGCCGACACACAGACTGCAGACGGTAATTGGAAGCATGACAAAACTGAGACAACAGGCACTAATTTATGTACCATTTCCCACTGCTGTCAGAAAAGGGTCAAGAACTTGTTGGAAAGCTACTTTGTAACAACAAATCCTTCAAACTGCAGTTAGTTACAGCTCTAACATGCACTATTACACATTCAATTACTTTATTTCTGCAAGAGCAGCCAATTCATAGTTATTCTGCTCCATGCACTTTTAATATGCTTCAGAAACATCTGTTAAAAGAAAGATGCATGCTCGGAGTCTGAATATTCTTTCTTGTATTGTGCACATCTATAAAACCACAATGATGGAAAAAAAAGAAGTCACGTGTGTAAATCAGGAATAATTCATCCATAATGGCAGGTTGCTGGAGGTAACGGAGAGAAGTCATTTTTAGGAATGCCATGCTCATTTATAAGAAGAAAAGAGACAAGAGGACACAGCGCCACATATGTTTGCACCTGTGAAAGGTACAGCATGTTCTCATGTAAAGAGCTAGCTGTTAGTAAAAAGTTTCAATATTTTCATCATATCCTGTTAATGCTCTCCAGACAAGTATTTCCTTTATTTCCACAGAAGTAAATAATATTATTTTGTTCATGGGGAAATCTGACACATTGTAGATTTTGTTGTGATTTGCAACACAAGAAAGTTTTGCAACAGCAGAGTCCTCTATAATTGCTAGTTTTAGGATAAGAGCACAGATGTACTGTAAAAAAAGCTATTCTAAAGGCAAAAAAATTTAGAACAGGTGGAGAGGTCTCACTGTCAACTACAGTCCCCGAAAAAGAAATGCTAGGCAGCTAACCTAGACAGCTGCATAAGACCCACTTTCATCCATATTACCAAAATTCACCAAGAAACTAAATTAAAAGAAAAACAAAATCACAAAATCAACTGTCCCCCCACAAAACCAAATAAAAAGCTCCAACCAAACACTGACCTCAGAAAACACTCCTGAAAGCCAAAAAACTCCAAGTCTTGCAATACATCAAATAGCTGAAGCAGATTCTGACCTGTTTTCTCTTTTATTTTTTTAATTCTGCTTTTTGCTATTTATTGCTGTATTTTTCACTGCCTTCTTCAAAAATTTTAAGTTAGATCACAGCTCTTTTGGGCCAGGCCAACCAGTAATAGCCATATACACAGAAATACAATCCATTTTGCATTATGTTACCATTCTGTGTAATGAATTAAGCTTTTTAAAATTCTCAGAATAAATGCTGCTTAAAGTTAGTGCATCTGGTCTCAAGACCACAACAGTTTTTTTTCCTAACATCTATGTCTTTCCAATAAAACTGCATTATTCAGTAACTTTCTGACTTCTTATGAATCTAAACATGATGAAATATCTAAGAAACAATTTTATTTGAAAACAGATTATAGATAAATTGCTTTTTCCATCTCAGAGGGTCTTTCCACAATACATAGAGTGATAATGTCTTCCAATACCACACTGGTGTCTGTAAAGCTCACTGTCAATCCTCCATCCCATTAAATTTTAACTTTAGAAAAGCACTGAAGGTGGTGCTTTGCAAATCTGTTGCATAAACAGCAAGGAAAGATGCGAGACATTTCAACCTAGAAGTCTTTTACTTAATTGCTCCACAGCATTTTCAGTATGAAAGACTAAACTTCTATATTTGTTTATTTTACAGAAAATGTTCACCAGCAGAGCTCCTGTGCGAAGTTTTAATAACTCATCTTCCATAAAGTTAACACTCAATACAGGTACATATCCTCCGGATCTTAGTCATAATTTTACATACAGCTACTTGGAAAGTACTGCTGGATGACTGAAGGAACTATAAATCAGAAAGTTTTTAATCACTCACACTTGTTAAATTCTGTAATCTTGAACTCTATTACACAAATGACTGACATCTGCAATCATGTTGCATCTATAGTATCTGATTTGTATGTACATAAACAGTTGCCACTGACAGCTGTCTGCTGCTCTACTGCAGCAGAATATTTCATCTCAGCAGAAAAACCCATTCATTTTAGGTGCATATGCTGCTTTTTAAAGACAACCATAAAGCCTGCAGGGCACATACCTTTTCGTAGTAAACTATTCCATATTCTTTATCATCGCACTTGACGCAACGGAATTCAATCATCAGGTACATAAAATTGGAGCTTCGTTTCTCCCTCTGAGGAAAGAGCCACCACAGATGTGTATCATTTTTTGCAGGGCATCAATCTTCAGCATTCTCAGTACAGCAATTACCCTACTTCCTTTGTGCTGTAACTGATTAATTAGGTTATCAGCTGTTGCAGCAATTATTTAGTTAATCATTTCATAGAACTACTTGAGACCATATCACCTCCTTCCCGACATTCTTACTACCTCACGTTCCCACTTTGTGACACATATTCCCACTTAACAGACGAAAACCTGTTTTCATCAGCAGCTTCCAGCTGTGGGCTAAAGGTATAAAAAAATGCAATGCAGGAATAATCAGATGACCAGTGGATAATTGGTGTTTGCTTTTTTGTCTAAATCATTACCTATAATTATGCACATCAAAGTAAAAAACAGAAGATACAGGAAAAACAAATAATTTTTTTAAACCAACACCATAAAAGAGACAGTCAACTTGGACTACAAGATTAGATTTGCAGCTTATTCATCTTCAGAGGAAGATTTGCTCATGTATGCATTTTTTAAATGCTCTACCTAGAATAAGTGCCTAGAACTTTAAAATCTGGGTGAGAAACAAGCAAGAAGTTTAACAATGAGTAATGTAATTTCAGTTCATTTAATGCATTCATAATGGCTCGACTTTCCACCATAGACAAAGTGGCTGTTTAAAGCACAGGTCTAAAAAATTTTATTTCACTGTATTTTTACTGTCAGTGATGAAGAAAAAGCTAAAGGGAAAAAATAGCAAAAAAAAGGTGATAGGCTAATTTCTAAAAAACATCAAAATATTTATAGAGGCTTATAAAACCACATATTTTAGTTAAAAAAAAATCTGACTTCCAAATCTCCAGTTACCAATAAGACAACAAAGATCTCAGGACACAGGAAAAACCAGAGTTCTTTTGTGCAAGATGAATCTGAGAAATTAAAGAGTTTGAGCTGATTTTGATCAATGAGGGCTAAAACCTCATTTAGGAATTAAACTATCAGATTATCTTATTTTTAAAAAATACTCGTTCAAAACTACAAATGTCTTTTCTCCACACCCAAAGTTAAAAAAATAAAGTTGAACAGCTCTGAAGCCAAGAAACAGGCCAAATGTCTAAAAAGCTCCGCATCGCAACCTAAAATACTAGAGATAAGTTAGTCATGCCTCACAGTGTTTGTTTCAAGCTGTTCCAAATTATTAATAAAGTCTATGTTCCATGATCAAGTTCCCTTGAAGCTGAAAACAGCTAAGACAGCTGTGTACATGTTGGATGAAAGGCTGGACATAAGCTGGCCATGTGCACTGGCTGCCCCAAAAGCAGCTCTGAGCTGAGCTGCTCCTCAGCAGGTCAAGGGAGGGGTCTCTGCCCCTCTGTACAGTGAGAGCCCACCTGCAGAGCTGCATCCACCTCTGGGACCTCAACATGAAAAAGATGTGGCCCTGATGGAAGGAGTCCAGGAGCCACAAAGATGCCCCAAGGGCTGGAGGGCCTTTGCTTTTGAGACAGGGTGGGAGAACTAGGATTGTTCAGCCTGGAGAACAGAAGGCTCCAGGGCATAAAGGGGACCTGCAGAAGAGCTGGAGAAGGACTTTAGACAAGGACTGACTGAGAGGACTTTATTGTGAGAGTGCTGAGGCCCTGGCACAGGCTGTCCAGAGAGATGGTAGAAACCTCTTCCCCAAAAACATTCAAGGTCAGCCCGGACAGGGCCCACAGTATCCTGATCCAATTGAAGATGTCCCTGCTCACTGCAGAGGGGCTGGACTAGATGGCCTTTAAAGGTCCCTTCCAAACCAATCTATTCTGTAATTCTTATTATTGCTAAAGTAAAATCAACTTTAAGCTTCCAAAGAATTACTTTTTCCTTCACCATTCGCACTGGCAGTTGAAGGAAATAAAACCAAGCAGTTAAGTCTCCTAAAGAAGTGAAGGTTCATATTAGCATGACAAAACCCCCAGAATTCCAAACCTGACCCTACAGTGACTTACCTCATTGATCATTTCTATTTCTCTAAACGTGAGTCTGTCCAGCCAATCCACCTTCACCATGTGACCTTGCCGATGAGACTTGGTGAGCTGTATGAAAAAAACCCACAATGATAACATTTAAATTGCTCAGAGTAAGAAAAAGAACACCAAAGTTCTAACAGAGATATTAATATGAAATCAGACAAAAAAAATAAAGGAACTGAAAAAACTGTACTCACCTTGTATAGCAGACACGTAGTGACATAGTACACACCTCGTCAACAGCCAAACCATGCCATAAAAATAAGTCTACAATCTAAAATACCAATCCCAGCAAAGACCATAATAATTATCCATGCACATCACCTTTGCATTTTTAACACAGCAAAAAGAGGAACCTTTTTCTTAACTAAAGTCACATAAAAAAGACATCCCATTTTTGTATTACTATGTTTCATATAGTAAAACTCACCAAGCCAAACAAAAATAAAGTATTTCATAAACTATCTATACTGAATATTTCTGCCTGTGTCAGCCTTTCCTTAACAGAAAAGGCTGTTTCCAGACTGACACTATAACTGGGTCAACTGAAGATCTTAGAGCAAGTCATAGACAGCTCGCTTTCTCCTTTAGTCATCCGATTAATAGCTCAAGTTTTATTCCTATGTTTACAAACAGCTGTAGCAATAGCAATATAGTTGTTTAAAGGACTCATTAAGAATGGAAGACAAGATGAGAGCATACTACTTGTATAGTATGATACACTAACACTACTTATAATGAAATTTTTTATGATAATTTTTTATCCAGAAGAAGATCACACAAATATGAAGACAGCCTTTTTGGCTGCTAAGAAATGACAGGTACTCTTCAAAAAAAAAATCAGTAATTATTGCAGAATGCAAGAGATGCAGAGAGACTAGAAGACATGAAGTTCCTTCATTTCCCAAAGAAATTAGTATCTGTCTAGAAAATGGTGAGCAAAGAGACTCCTCAAAATTATTCTTATTAGAGGAAAGGTTATTATTTCATTAACTTTGTTCTGTGCTTAGCCTGCCCACCCATGAGCATCTAAATGTGAACAGGCCATACAGTGACACTGTCTCTTCTTGCCCAGCTAAGGGACAGGCAATACAGAGACCTAGGACAGCAGGAATGAAGGTACTGGATGCAGGAAAACACAACATCAGCCTGTTGCTTCCACATAGAACTGGAGATAGTATTAGTACAAAATAAACAACACAGAAGATTTAAGACTGGGATACACTAGGAGATGTCCAGGTTGCACAATCTGTCAGATATGTGCCCTAGACGTTCCATAGATCAACACTAGAGGTACACTACAAATAAAGGTCATTATGAAGACAGAAAATTGAAGAGTTTGTACCAATTTTACTGTTTCATTATTCGCTCTCAAATCCTCACTAAACTGATGGTTTAACAGTACAGGCACAACTATATTGGGCAAAAGTTTGTCTAATCAAAGTCTTGGAGAAAAAAACTTGGTCACAAATTCTTTGTTCATTTTCTTGTTCACTGCACTAGAGAATAAAGAAAATGAAAGTTATTTTGTGTATTTCAGAAGAAAATTATTAATATTTTAAACCTTTAAACATCCCTTACAGAGGAAAGACGTTGTAATACAGGAATTAATTAGGTCTGCATACAAGACCTGGAAGATCTGTGAGGATATAGATACACATGAAGAATTTGTTGTTTTGAATTAATAATTACAGTTTAAAATAAGACAGAAGCTAGTATCCCCTTCAGGGAAAGAAGCATTTATCATTTGCTACTAAGTAAGATGCATCCTTTTAGATAGTATCTCAACATTACTATTACCTAATTTCATTCAGCCAGCAGAAGGTACGATGGAAATGAATGGATCAAAAAGAACTTAAGAATACTTTAAGTAGAATAAATTAACACACCACTCATGGGAGAAACCTCTTAATGTCTTTAATGTAAGAGAATGCTAAAACACCCTTCCCATTAATATTCCTTAGTACACAAAAAATCTGCATTCACAATGCCTCCAGAATGCAAAGCCATGGTTTTTCCATCAGTAGCAGTTTTACTAGCAACATTCATGTGTTTTGTGAGAGCACAACCACATGGCACCTCAACATGAAAGGGGAGACTTGCCACAGTATCAATTATTTAAGGTAAGGTAAAACTCTTTGACCACCTACTCATTGGTTTTATAGAAATTCTATGTATCAATAAGAAACACATACAGACAAACTCAGAAGCATGTCAAGAAATGAGTAATCTTTCAGACAGAGAAAAGGTTCTTCCCAAGCTCTTCTCCAAAGTTACCTCTTATCTGCAAGACTCTAGCTTGGGCTCTGGTACCAATATCAATCAATAGCACAACACTGAACAAGTCTGTTCAATAAACCGAAAAAAACCACCAAACCAAGAACAACAAAGTCCACACAAACTTGCCATGTATGTACCTAAGTGCTAGCTCTTTTACCTATATTTAAATATACCTTCACACAGAGTAGCATGAGAAGCCATTCAGAAACTGGTCAATAAGTCACAGAACTGAAGCTGATTGTGTTTGAGCAATAGCTATTTAGGAGTGACACATCACAAGAACCTCCTCTGCTACGTAAACAGCTGTGCAAATGAAACCTCCCATAGACACACTACCCAGAAACCCTGATTTCCCTACCATCTGATGGTAAAATTGTGTTATAAAAAGGACCCCAACAAAATATCAGTGAAAACACTCCTCTTTCAGAAATTAGCATCTCCCAAAACAGCTTTCAGAAGAAAAGAATGGGGGCAGTGATGTTATTAGCTTTCTGTTAGCCATTAACTACAACTCTCAAATAGGATCTGAAAGAATTCCCTCCTACTCCTCAGAAGCCTTGGGCCATCATCTTCCAAATGCCAAAACAGGCTAAAACAGAATGATCTATTTTACGACTGAAGTACTCTATTTTATTTATGCTTTTTGAGCTAGAGAGAGTGAGTGATAATGTCTGTATAACAGAACTAACATGAAAGGCATGGCCTACACTTTCAAAGTCTTTCCCAGAAACCCGGAGCATCCATCATATAACCAGATGACAAACTGGAAATAAGAGTTGACATTTAGTGTCTTTTTACAAAGACTCCTTAGGCCAGAGGGCATTTATTCTACTATGATCAAGAAATGGGGCATCACTGGCTTTAATGAGCTTTCTGTTATAAATTCAGTGCAAACCACACTAATGAAACAGAGACCCTTAAATGAAAGTTAATCACTGTCATAAATCTCTAGATGAGAAAATGGTTCTGTCTTTCATTGGGAGTCCCACAAAGATCTGTATAAAGTCTGGGAGACCAAGATTAAGAAGAAAGCTCACTGAATAGGTGGACTAAGCTTGGGGTAAGCTTATGTGAATAATCAGAGATCTTCTAGTAAAACAGCCCAGTAACTAACACACTTGGATCAATTTCAGTAGTTTTGAGGGCAAGAATACACTCTGCCCACAAAAGCTTGGAGGCAAAAATAGTAATGTACATATTCATGAGCTTAAATGAATGAAACTTGGGTTAATTTCTGCAGCTCTACTCAAGTTCTTTCTAATGTACAGGTATGACACCAATTCTGAACATTATGCCACACAGCCTCAAAGATAAGGGATGGTCTCTGAAAGAAACTCAGGCGTCCTCACAAGTCACTGTTAGGAGAGGCTCTTATTAAACCTGATGGAATTTTGTCTTTAAGCATCTTCAAGGCATTTTCATGTTTTATTCTTTACAAAGAATTTAGATCTTAAGTTGTTCCAACAAACTGCTATGTGTAATAGAAGGGTTTTTAAAAAAACACTTCAGAAGCAATTAAGTATGATCTGCCTTACTCCTTTGTATAAATCCTTTGAAACACCTAAATAACCAAAGGAAGAGAGCTATCACGTGAGAAAACAGCACTGGAAGCTGTCTCCATTTCTCCCCAGTGAAGTGCATGCTTGTCACATACATTTTACAGGTTACTTGCTATTCCATTACCTTTGCCAAGCGGCTCATTTGATCTTCAGAGACTGTACTGCTGGTTCTCCCAGGAGTTTTGGTGGGCTCGGAGCCATCAGCTTCTACATTGGGCCAGACTTTCAGGTCATGCATTCCTTGTCGAAACATACTGCAGGGAAAAATGCAGAATCACTTCAGGAAACTCAATATAATACAGCTGTCAGGAATCAAAGTTGCAGCAGCTGCAAGAAAATGAAGTTGCTTCCTTTGTCAAAACTACTAAATTGCATAATTGAACTCTACTGCATAAGTGTCTTGAACCTTGTGTTCTCTACAACCTTTCTTTTACTGGCACATGAAGTTTAGAAGAAAATTGTTAAGTCAGAGATAACTTATTCGGCAAGTAGAAGAAAAATGGATAATTCCCAAAACTAGTGGGATGGTACAAACACAAACTGAGGAGAAAGCTCAACCTTCACAGTTTTATAATTTGTAACGAAGCAGAAAGTATGCCTCTTGACTTGCAAATTGTAACAGTAATCCTAGCTCTGCCAGTATGAAAAAAATGAACTAGAAAGCTACCAAAGTTGCATCCAAAGGTCAATAGCCATAAAGCAGCCTTCTGAGCTGCCAAATAATAATAATAACAAAAAACATACCAAGAAAAAAAAAGGCAAAAACTCTAAACACACACCGCTTTCTCCACCAATGCTTGAAATTTAATTGATAATTGAAAGTGTGCAGTGAACAGAACTTTGCAGGGTAACTGACCACATCTTTTCTCTGCAAAACCCTGCTTACCTTGCACATTTGTGCTGATCCACCCATAAAAGATGCCCCAAGAAATCAAGTGCATTCATTACCTTTGCCAACAAGAGCTCATCGCTTTGCTCTAAAAACTTCAGGTAAATACAATTGACAAGAATATTTTAAAAAGTGAACAATTAAAAATGAGAAATAACAATTAAAAAGACTATCTGACCTTGAATTTACACATCATTTCATGGAGCATTACTACAAGGGTTTTCTTTTAAAAACTACAAACTTCAAAAATTTTTTGTTGGTTTCTCTCCATCAATTTCATCTGAGTTCCACATGCTGGAAGTAACACTTATAATTGAAATTTATTTTTATCTTTTTCCAAGAACTGTTCTTTAATGCTTTAACAGCTACCAGCAGTCTTTGGGGCACAGTCCAATTGATCAGGTTCAATTTTTTGCCTTAAGGCAATCTCATCCGTTTTTGTTCAAGCAGTATCCTCAAAGAGAGAGATACAACTTTTCTCTACAGTCACTTTCTGCATTCAAGCATCATTAGATCAGCTTTCCTAATGATAACCTAAACTCTTCCTGCACTTCAGTCTAAGTGAAGTCTTACTTCTCATCCATTGGTGAGACAAAACAGACTATTTCTCCCCATTTTCCAGCAGTATATACACACTAGAAAAATGTTTCTACATTCTTTTTTTTCAGCCTGACTAGGCATAACACTTCCTCCATCCCACCTGCCTGGTAGACATTCAACTATACAGACTCCCAGTAGTCAGAAATTTGACTGAAGTCGGTTAGAAAGAACAGAAAACACCCCAGCTGAGTGGAGAAGGAAAGGATAGGAAAAGAAAAGGGTACAGAAGTGTCTCTGATGCACATACTTGTAAACCGTTTCTGTAGTCAATGTTGTTCACACATTTTACAAGAGCACCATGATGCTGAGCCACACAAAATTTAAGATTCACTCTGCAAGTCTGTTCCTGTCTTTTCCTGGGTAGCTGCTCCCCAGTCTGTATGTGATAACAATCAATTGCAAAGAAGTACCAGTGCCTCTTAATTTTCCTTAGACCACGACCTGTTTTCTCAGTCTCCTTTGTACTTAGGTAAGATTCTTTCAAGGTATTGTTCACCTCACAGATTATTACTGTAATCCTTCCCACCTTAGTATTACCATCCACAAATTTACTGAACACCCCTCTTACTGGATCATAGCATATTAACTTTGAAAATTGCTGATTTACTGAGTGACATTTTATCCCCTATAAATAACAGTGCATTCACAACCTAATTGCAAGCCAATTAAACAATTTTTTTAAAGTAATCAGTACTGGCATGCATGCAGTACAAGGGTGTAGATGTGAAGTGATTTCAGCACTTGCCATCTTAAAATCCAAGCTTGTAGATCATCACAAAAAAAAAGAAAAAAGGTGTTATATGGAGCACTTATTTTATACAACACTGCAGCAAGTGTGAAATTACACTCCAGAATAATCAGGAGCAAATCATTAATGTTTCTGATTTTTCAAACATGGAACTGTTAATCTAGTTTAGAAAATATTTAAAAACTTATCTCTCATAACCCATGCCACATTACTATTCACAGGTGAGCTTTAAATGAGAAGAAAAAGCAGTATACCCATATTTTCCAAAGAGTGAGACCGTTGTTCCTCCCACAGGAACGGCTTTACCAGGTCCATATACATCCCAGATGGTCAGAGCCACCTGAGCATTCCGAGGCAAGTCTGGATACTTCACAGGCAGTTTCAGCCATTCGTTCCAGCTGCAGAGAAACGCCATTTATTAGTTATAAAGCTTTACAATTCAAGTTACTCTCTATAAGTTTAAATAATAAATAAAAGCTTTACAATTCAAGTTACTCTCTATTAGTTTAAATAAAGATTTCTTAGGGCAAATGGACTATTTTCCTGTGGGCTTTAACTATTCAAACACCATGACTAAAGGCTATACCCCAAAAGAAAAATATTCTGGCTTGATGACTGAGTAGCAAGGATCAGGCTGTCAGTGAACAGCATGAAAATGTATCACTCCTGGCCCCAGAAGTTACTTGAAGTAGCAGGCCATGCCCAAGAACACAAGTAGCAATTTTATCACTTACCCTTTACAGAAAAAGGTTGTTTTTGTGCTGGCTGGATAACACTAACTATACAGACATTTGAAAAAGCATAAGCCATTTTATAGAAGACAACAGAATCAAATCTTTCTGACAGAAACAAATACTTGGTGCCCCACTAATTATGAAGAACATGAAATAAAAGGCAAGCCACTTACTTCCATCTAGTGCTAAAAGCCTTGTAGGAAGTTCTGACTGGAAGAGCAAGCGGTTTCCCCTCTGCAAACACCTGACAGGTTACATACAAGTCAGAGCAAGTCTCTTGGTACAGTCCCGAGAACTTCAGCATCGGATCTTCTAAGAGAGCTTTGTAGCTTTTCTGTTCTCTTTTCCCTTCCAGACTTCCTCTATGGGGGAGAAGGCAGGGGAGGAGGAAAAGAAGAAAACATAAGTAAACCAGAATTTATTCTATCCACAGTAGAAATCCTATTGCATTTCCACAGCTTATACTTAGATTACCCAGAACTGAGGCTATTCTCACTTTGCAATACCACTTGTAGTGAAATCCAAACACCAGACAGGAACTCAGGATGTGAAATGCTCAGCAAACATGGACAGTACTGCTGTACTGATTTAGGCGGGGGTGAAGGGAAAAGCAGGGAAGGCAAGAATTACTTGTTTGTCTTTTAAATGCACGCAACTTTTTCTAGTACAACCTGTGGATTCTCAGACAGAGCTAAGTAGGGCAACAATAAATGAGAAGACATATGCTACTATTATTAAAATAGACAAAACAAACATCAGATTATGTGTGCTTCAACACTTTATTTAAAAAAATAAAAATCAAAACAACTATGGTAAGTAAATTTTTAAGATCTATGAAATGTATGACTGGTTTTGGAAGTCAGTCATCTCTCAAATCCACAACAAAATAAAGTTCACTTAAGCAGATTGTTCAAATAAAATTTGGTCAAAGCCCTGCAGCACTTTGCACAGTTACTATTAAGAGGAATTGATGGAATTTCTCCGGCTTCAGCTATACTACAATGAAAACAGACATGCACATTAGGTGTCTGTCTGTGGATGCACTAGTTAAAACAAAACCAAAAACTAACAAACAAAAAAAATAATAATTGAGGTGATGGGCAAACATGTAAGATCAATCTTCCACTAAACAAAAATCTATTTGTTTCCACAAAACCATTCCAGAGTAAATTAACAAGTTACTTGCACAGAACCAACACTGTACATTCTAAGGATGACATACACTTCTATGCGTTAAAACAACAAAAAGAAAACCTGCTAGTGTTAATTTTGTTTGGTGGAATGAACTATCAAAGAGGTCACATGAATCTGACTCCTGAGTGTGGGCTGGCAGGGACCTTAAAAATCATCCAGTTCCAACCTTTGTCATGAGCAGGGCCACCATCCACTACCATCACTTTTACAGAAATTAAACAACCCTTAACAAGCTTCTCCAAGTTAGTTTGCCAGAAAATTGCAAGATACTTTAATGCACCACCATTGGGGACACTACATTTGAGAGTCAGCCACATCCCTCCTACTTCTCAAACTTCTCACTGCTGTGATGAAGTAACTTAAAAAAACAAGCAAAAAATTTAAACACTGTAAGGTAAATCCAGCTTCAACAAAAGTGCTTCCACACACTCAGTTAGGAATATATTTACATGCTGCAGCACCTGGATCTTGCTACAGTAAAACACCCCAGTAAGAACACCATGCTTTCACAGGAGTATGTAAACAAGCAGCAAGAGTGTTACCAGTTTATCTCCTTCCCTTAACACTCAGGAGTGAGCGGTGACACAGCGGTGGCCCTCCAATTCCTGTAAGGGAACTTACAGGAAAGAACAGGCAAGATTATTTACAGAAACATGCAGTGACAGGGCAGGGGAAGATGGCTTCAGACAGAGTAGACTTAGATTAATTAGGAAAGAATTCTTTACTGTGAGGGTGGTGATGCCCGGGCACAGTTTGCTCAGAGAAGCTGTGGCTGCCCCATCCCTGGGAGCGTTAAAGGCCAGGCGGGACGGGGCTGGGACCAGCTTGGGATAGTGGAACATGTCCCTATCCATAGCAAGGGGTGTAACAGGATGGGCTTTAAAGGTCTTTGTAACGCAAACCAATCTGTGATTCTCTGACAGGTGAGAGGCTCTGGGAGCCAGCACTGACAATCGCTACCTTGGAGCACCTGAGGACACGGCACACCTGACACGCGTTCGCAGCACAGCTCCAGCCCTGCCCCTCGCCCGCCGCCTCCCCGCGGGCCGGGACGCGGCACCGGAGCTGAGCCAGCACCGCCTGTCCCCGGGCACGGCGGGGCTGCGGCACCACGGCACCCCGCCGAGGGGCGGGCGGCCCGCTACCCCCTCCCAGGGCGGCAGCGACCGTTCCCCTCTGAGCCCCGACGCCGCTCACTCACATCTTCAGCTGCACGTTGATGTCCAGGTCGCAGCTGTACACATAATAAAGCCTCTCGGTCTCGCCCATGGCCGCCGCCGCTGCTGCTCCCCGCCCGCCCCCTCAGCGCCCGTGGGCAGCAGCGCCGGCCTCCCTGGCCGCGCTCCGAGCATGCGCCGCCGCCGCCATCTTGAGTAAGGGAGGAAGGAGCGGTGCCGGCCCTTGACCAAAATGGCCGCCGGCCCGCGGCCGCCCCCGCTTCCCCCCCCTAGCGCCTGGGTGCGCGGGGCGCGCAGCGGTGAGGTAGGTGCGGGACCGGCTGCCGGCGGGATGGCTCCTGTGCCACCTGACGGCGGAGAGGGATGGAGCCTCGCAACAGCACCACAGAGTGTCCTGAGTTTGAAGGGACCCGGAAGGATCATCGAGTCTAGCTCCTGGCCCTGCACAGAATGCCCCAACTACATGGTAGGAGCCGTGTGTCTGAGAGCATTTCCCAAATGCTTCTTAAACTCAGACAGGCTTAGTGTTGTGACCACATCCCTGGGCAGCCTGTTCCAGTGCCCAGCCACCCTCTGGGAGAAAAACTTTTTCCTGAAATCCAACCTAAACCTCCCCTGACTCAGCCTCCCGCGGTTCCTTCAGATCCCATTGCTGTGGCAAGAATGAAGAGATCAGTACCGGCCCTTCCTCTTCCCCTCATGAGGATCTCGAAGACTACAGTGAGGTGTCTCCTCAGTCTACTCCAGGTCTAGCAAACCAAGTGAGCTCTTAAGGCTTCATTCCCAGACCATTCTCCATCCTCGTGGCCTCCTTTGGACCCTTATAGAAAAGTTTGGCTTGGAAAGGAACTTAAAGCTCCTTTATTTCCAACCTCCTGCCATGGGCAGAGACACCTTCCTCTAGAGCTGGGTTCCCTCCAGAGCTCAGAGCTCCATCCAGCTATGCCATTATTTATACATAGAAGTTCAGACTTAACTTTCCCAGCAAAGCCCTCTATTATGATTAACTAAGTCGTTTTTGTACAAGTTAAATAATCTCAGCTCAAGGAAAGGGTCTTCACCAGGGCTGGGGTGACACAATGACTCTACATCTGGTACAGACAGCCAGAAGCTACCTACAAAAACTACAGAAACTACAGAAAACTACAACTAGCCAGAAGCTACCTACAAAAACTACAGAAACTACAACTAAAATATTATAAATTAATGTATAATTTAAAAAAAAGTTTGGTGTTTTGAGAATTAATACAGACTGTGAGCACTTTTAAGTGACAAATGCAGAAACTATGCCTATAATCATTATTATCCTACACTTATTCTCTCTATGTAGGCAAAGCAGCCAGCACTGACAAACAGAAGTTTTTGTGTTTTATGATACACCACAACTGCTGAACTTCTCAGGACTGCTGAACAAAAGTATAAAAAGTGCTGTTTTGCTGTAGCTCACTGTACTTAAAACACTCTTGGTCCTGTGGAAGCGTCCAAACAGGTGTTCTCTCACAGCACAGCTCAGACAAATAAGTAAGTAAGTAAGTAAGTAAATAAATAAATAAATAAATAAATAAATAAAGTCACCTGGAATAATTGTCACCTGGAAGCAGTGTTTTCCATTTTCACAGCATTACAGGTGGATGTAGAAGGATGTCTCGGCCAGTCCTTCTGGAAATCAGCAGCTATGAGGGAATAGGCCAAATGCTTCTTTTAAGTGAAGGACTTTTTCACTTCAACACTTTTTTCCTCCCTCAGGTACTGTGACCAAAAGGTCTTTCCTTTCTGTTTTTCTAAAACAAATACAAAACTAGAGGAGTCCATAACTGAGAACTGTATCACTGAAATGAAGTCTTTGGTTTCCAGCACTACTCCACTGACATGTATCATGAGTGGCAAACATAATTTAAGTATAATTAAATTAACAAATTCCTCTGCACAGTAAAGATGACTTTTTAATCTATCTTTTCTATCTTAATTCTTCACTTTTTGGTCACATTTATGGTTGCAGCAATCCTGGCAGCCTGCTGAAACCATTAATGTTTTTGCCTGCCTCATAATTTTTGATGACTTCTGTTTGTTTTTTACTTTGGTTCCATCCCTGTTTTTTTTTACATAAAACCTCTGTTATCTGTAACAGGAATAAACAAACCTTTTTTTTCTCCTTGGGTGTGAAGAAAAAGTAAAACATAAACCTGCAAAAAATTAAAAGACAAAACTCACTGTTTTAAAGCTAAGCAACATATGTCTCTGTGCACAAGCAATAAGTACATTCATACGTGTGTACCAGTTTTGGTATGATTTTTTTGTCAGGAAAAATTAGATTCTTTTTAAATTAATGAAATTAGTGGTATCAGTTTAATAATCTCACACTCTATTGCACCACTATAGGCATTTTCAGATAATTATTAAAGATTTGTTTAAAGAGAAAAAAAAAGGAAAAAGCTAAGGGAAAAAATTACAGAAGGCCTCTGAAAAAGGCATTAGAAAAGTTTTTTTTGGATTCTACTATGTCTAACTAGATAACTAAATTAGGTAAGGCAAAATAAGAGAAAAATGTTTAGGAGAGACATTTTTGACAATAAAATTGAAGAAAGATGCTATTTCAATCAGAAATGTCACTTTATACCACTTTCTGATATTAATAACCTTACATTTCTAGGTTCTCATATACTGCCACAGAGGCAGATAGGAAGAGTATTTTTCACCTTGAAGGGTCCCGAAGCGCTTGGAAGAGGCAGTGATGAACATCCAGGGCCATTGCTTGTGCTCTGACACAGTTCTGGCTGGAGGTGATGGGCATCTGCACTGCCACACACCTGCAGCCAGTGAAACTGAATGGGGCCTTTCCCTGTGGAGCAGATACAGAGCTGGATAAGCACATTTTCCTTTTTTACTCTCTGCTGCCACTTCTGTGTGTCCTTCACTTGCCATTTGTGGCAACATCTGTACTAAATGATAAAAGCATCCACCATGGGCTGTTGCCCCTGAGTCAGGTAGTTCGTATAACTCACAGCTACCCTCTCTTGATCTGGCCCCTGCAGAGTGGTCCATCCATATCCCAACTGGTCAATTCTTCCGACTTCTGAGCTTCAGTGACCACTCTGTGGCCAAAAGATATGATTATTTATGTGTGTGTTTTCCAGCTCTAAGAGCTGGATTTAGTAGCAGACTCTGCTGGCTCAGAGGAGTCTTGGTTTCCCTATCTCTCGAAATGTTCAAGGCCAGGTTGGATGGAGCTTGAAGCAACCTGGTGTAGTGGAAGGTGTACCTGCCCATGGCAGAGGAGGAGGTTGGAACTAGAGGATCCTTAAGATCCCCCTCCAATCCAAACCATTCTGTGGTTCTATGATCACACGGATTGTTTTACTGCCCGTGGGAATGTTTTGCGGTGTGACACCTAGGGCACATCATGAGAGCACTTTTGTGGTGGTTGTGTTTCTGGTTTTGGCCTCTTGAAGTAGGGCAGGATTATTCCAAGTGTTGCATTTCAAACGAAGCACATCTTTTCTCCTCTTGCTGATCTGCAGCACACCCATAAGCATACTCTCCTGGCAACTCTGCTTGGGTTTCTTCCTTAAGGAGACTAATAAATACATGCCACAACAGAGCCCAGGAGTGAACTAGTGTGCAACTGCATATATGTTGATAGCAGGAGCACATTCTGGAAGCAAACCAGTGTCAAAATTCCTGATGCTCCAAGTGCATGAAATTCTGACCTTCATTGTGCCAACAGAAAAAGGAGCATCTGTCTTGTCGCTCTGTTTTTTAAGTTCTTCTGAGCCTTCTGATGTTTCCATTCTTGTATTGAACTTTCTTACACCCTTTCCTGTAAATGCTTATTGTTTTGCATTCTTTTCTGGAGGAGGACAAATTTGATGGACTGTTGGTTTTTCCAGTGTCATTGGAGAGGTGGCACTGTCATCCTCTAATCCACTGTCACTTTTGGAAATCTGTAAATGTTGGAGTCATAATTAAACTTTCTCTCTTTTTACCTTGGAGATTCCAGTGTCCGCATAGTTTTATTTCGTGTCCTAGAGCAACATGTCCGTTCTGGCTTGGGGTGAAGCTGAGAATGGCAAGAGGGACTGTTAGGAGTTACTGGTGGCCAGTGCCTCCTGCTTATGGCCCACAACCCCATTTCAGGGAGTTCTGTGTCCAAGCAATGCCATAGAAATCAATCTCCTGCTCTACCACAGCCCTGCCTGACCCAGCCATGGACTTCACTGAGCCAATTCCCGCTCTTAGACTGAGGTCCCATCCCTGCAGAGATGCCTGATGCCCTGGTCTGGACCTGCTCTGGCAGCACTGGAAGTCTTCCCTTCTTTCTGGTGGATGCAGTGGGAAAGCCCCTGGCTTTCTTTCCCAGCACAGCCCAGAAATATGTTCTTGTAGTTCTCTAACATTTACCTGAATGTTTGGTCTTGAAGCACCAATTTAACTCAGCATATGTAAGTGTTTAAAATTTCTTTGGAAAAAAGTGCACCAAGAAGAATCTATTTTTTTCTCATGAAAACTGTAAGTAACTTGCTAGCTATGCCTAGATTTAGTTACTTGCTGATATCATGCCATTCTTGTCATTGGAAAAAATATAGCAAGCATGCAATTGACACTCTTCATTGCTCTGCTCATGCATTAGAATCTCCCCTACCCCTGTTCTGTTTTTCAGTCCAATAGTTTGTCAGCTCCCAGAAGTCTGATGAGGTGAAGCATTGAGAAAACAGTGGGAGCAATAGAGAGGTCTGCTGCTGACACAATTCACTTTGGAGGAAATGGAGCTATTTTTCTTGTTTTGAAGCAGACGTGTCACTTGCAGTTCACATTCGACTGATAGCCACAGAGAAATACGTAACCTTTCCATCCCACCAAGAAATATATGCCATCTTCCAGAAGACAGCACTGATTCCTCGTACACCATCTATTTTCTGCTGGAGGGACTACCACGATACGGAAGAGGACTGATCAGATGTCCAGCCATGCCCCACATTGCTCGTAAAGATTTTCAGCAAATTTGTTGGAAGTAGCTATGTTGTCAGACTTGTTTTATCTTTCCTGAATGTGGACATCTGTCTGCTAAAAACTGGACTGAGACATCTAGGAACTATACATAACCCTTAGTGCATCTGTCAGACGATAATCACTTTCGCTCACTAATGAACTGGA